ATATTAAGTTCTTTATTTTACTTTAACCAATTGAAAAGAAACCGAGTGATGTAAAAGTTGTTAAATGCTAAAAGTGTTTTTTTATTTGTTATTATTTTATCAGTGAGGGCCACAGATTTAATGGAAAAGATTCTACTACTTTATGTATTAAAGTTTAGCAGCATGGTTTCATAGCTGTGAACACATTTGTCAATGACAATGATCCCCCTTCAGATGTTGTTCCTCAACTGTCATTACAATTTGAGACACCTCACCATAATGATTTCCTGTACATTTAGTCAGACATTTTGTTCAGCGTTGAAAAGAAAGTAAAACCACTTCAGCTTAATTGTTTACTATCATTTTTGATTTTTTTCCCAGTGATGGGTTGCAGCTGGAAGGGTATCCGCTACGTAAAACATATGTTGGATAAGTTGGCGGTCCATTCCACTGTGGAGACCCCTGATCATTAAAGGCACTAAGCCGAAAAGAAAATGAATGATTTCTTGATTTTTTTTTTTCTTTGATTTATCATTCTTTGAATTTTTTTTTCACTGTCAATTTTTCCAACAAACAGTCGTGTTTACCTGTTAAAGCAGCATGATCAGGTAGTGTAACTGGTTTGTGTCAATCGGTGTAACCAGTATTTTTCATGAAAATAATGTGAAATTCATTTTAAAACACCTAGTTTAGTGTAATTAAGTGGTTTTTAACAATTTTTACATAATTTGTCAAAGATAATTTAGAAACAAATAAGCCTTTCTCCAGAAGAAAAAATATTATCAGAAATACTGTGAAAATTTCCTTGCTCTGGTAAACATCATTTGGAAAATATTTAATAAAGAACAAAAATTCAAAGAGAGGCTAATAATTCTGACTTTAGCTGTATATATGCGTCCATGATACTTCATATTGCAATATGACATATTACACAGTACTTTGGTAGTGGTTCAGTGTAAATTGTTAACAGATGATATGAGATTTAGTAGATTTGAAAGTGTTAAACTAATTAAACTTATATAATGCGCATATATAAGGGTATGACAAATATGCAGCTTAAAATAAAAATTATATTACACAATCTTTTGTGTAATCTGCATTAAACATTCTAGTGTATGATTATATGCTTAATTATTGCTTATTGAATATGCTTTATTATTTAACATGCTTTTATAACCGGCTCCTCTGATTTGTGTGGGCTGTAGTAGGGATTGCGGGAGGCTGTGTCATTATCTGTTTACTGCCATTTTCTTGCTATAATTATTACTAAGGTGCTTGACCCGTTTGTGTTAAGCATGCAGTGCTCCACTGCCCAGTGCTTTAGTTAACAAATCCCACCACAACCATGGGTACTGAAGCTGTCAGATAGAGCTGATAAAAGCTAAACGTGGCCCTCAGCATCAACAGCGAGAAGTAGTGTTATTGTTGGAAACAGGAGCTGCAGTCTGTGGTCACTGGAGGATTATCAGAGAGGCTGAAAGATAAAGTCAAAGGGCATAAAACATAGCGGTCTGTCTAGAATTCTTTATGAATCGGTATATGAATAATTAACATCCATGATTTGCGCAGCTTGAGTTTGAAATGCAAATATGTGGGAGAGATGCAGTGAAGATTGGATATAGAGGAATTCAGTTGGTTGGGCTAGATTGTTTCTGTAACGTTTGACTGATTTAAAAAAATACATTAAATCAGATTAACGTTTAAACTACTTGTTTAGCCAGCTTGTCAGCATGTTTGAAATAATATTCTCTTGTTACAATCATGCAAAATTCACACCATTTATAATTACATGCCTATTACAGTTTTTGCTCAGTGCTTACATGCTAAAACAAATGCTTAGATGCCTACATTTCTTGTGGCATACATTAAACACTGTGTATATGTGTTATACTGTATGTAAAGTCCATCAGTGTGTTGCTGCTGATATGAGAGAGTAATTCAAATAGTAATTGTGTGTAAGGTTTTAAGGTAATAAATTATTTTTTTTAGAATGGAGTGTATTTTTTTTAAATGTCTGGGTAAAAAACTAAAAAAAAATTCTTCGTTTGAACACAATAAATTTTAATTTGGGAAACATTTAAAATATTTTGGAGCAGTGAACATGTCAGGCTACACAATTCAGAATTCTGCTGTCTTCATTAGTTTCAAAAACAAAGATTTCTTTACAATTTAAAACGGCATCCTTGGAGATCTGTTAGTTGTCCTAAAAACTAAAATAAAAAAATTAAATAAAAAATCTTACTCGTACCTTAAGGAACGGTATTGCTGAAGATTTTGACGGTTTTAAAACCTTGACTTTTTCAAACTGCAGTATACCTTGAAAACGTCCCATGCCTAGTCACAAATGTTTTTGCACTGCATGCAGCATGCCTATCTGGGGTAGCGTTTCGCCGCTACTTTTACACTGCAAGATAGATCGATGACAGAGGGTTTCACACTGCATGACATTATAATAGGAAGAATCACTGACAGCTTTGTCCAAACATCTCACAACCAAACACATGAGAAGTGACATGGAAACAATGCAGGGTCACAGTTTATCCTTTGTTATTAACCACATAATGAGTAAGTACAAAGTATGTAGTATACTGTAAACTTGCTAACTTTTTTCGTCACATCCATATTGCATGTTTGTTTATTTTCCTCATTTAAAACCTAAAAAAATGTTTACAGATTGATATTTTTCTGCTCCCATAATTCTGTGGTTCATTGTTTTAGAATATAAACATGTTTCAATATAAAGTTAACATGTACTTTCTCTGTGAATTTATGTTTTAAACTTCATATCCAGAACACTGGAACTGCTAATATGGAAAAAACACATCATATAACTCATCACCTTAGAATTCTTTTGGTTCTACCAAAATTTAGATATTTACATATTTTTATTAAATGACAAAATATTAACATTATGGTATGTTTTTTAATAAGTTGTTTACATTACATACTTTTTTATTTAAAAAACAAATGTTACACACATACTGTTTGCTATGGAATACAGAAACTTTTAAGCTCAAAATCTCAAAATCATTCAGAACGCAGATAGAACCTTATAATTCTAACGAACTGTATTATTCATGCGAGAGGTAAAAATAATGCTAGTTGTGTCAGTAGTAAAAGTCAATTGATTGCTGATGTGAGTGTTGGATTGTCAAGTGGCTCCTGCAGGCTGTTATGTTCACTTCTGTGTATAATAGAGAGATTGAGTTACCTGAGATCTGAGTCACAGGCCAGCCATCAGAGGAATTGCATTTTTATTTTCTGTTTTACAGCAGTGGAAATTTAGTTTAAGGAAAGGCATCAGATGTCTGTTTCGCACTGAATGCCACACACAGGTTTGCTTGAAGGCATTTTCATAACACACAATATTTTTGCCCTCATTTTCTGCTCAAATTTCCTCACTTTCATTGATGATGTCTCCGGGGATTTGTAAAGGACAACGAGATTCAATTGTTTATTCTTGTGTATTGTGCCATAGTGCACAACAACGTTAATGTCTGTCATGTCTGTAATACATCACGTTGTTATCGCAAAAAGTCTAGCATGTTTCATTTTCCCCCTGCTGTCCACAATCAATTCTGTCACATGAGTGATTGACCAATAGGGTCACATAAAATCTTCCTTACACAGATTTTAAAGTGTCAAAGTGAAAGATAGTGAAAGAGTGGATTATGGTAACTGTAAACTTGTATGGCGCATCTTCACGGAACTACCATGGCTGGATAAAAAGATTGACATTGACGATCAATTAGCTGATGCACTTTGGTGAATGCGTACTGGAATTACCATGTAAACTATCTAATCAGACAATTGCAGAGACATTTATATAATTTATTGACAGAATGCATGTTGTAGACATCGCAAAGCATAATCTCACAGTGACCGACAATTTAATTAATTTAATTTTAATTGTGTATTTGGAATGTTAAAGAAATTTAATTTATCTTTATTTCTATAGCGCTTTTACAATGTAGATTGTGTCAGAGCAGCTTATTATAAAAGTTCTTGTAAATTGAAACTGTCACTTAAGCACTGAAGATTGTAGAATTGTATTATTTTAAGTTGATTGAGGCTTTGTAATATGTCAAAGCAGCTTTGTATAGATTTTTTTCATGTTTATTTAGCCTAGCTTAGCATAACTCATTGAATCTGTTTAGACCATTAGCATCTCAACAACACTACCACATGTTCAGAGTAGTATTAAAGGAACACTCCATTTTTGTAGAGTGAGAAATAGGCTCATTTACAATCTTTTATAGTTGAGTTTTAACATTTCCATCTATTTAGAACAGGGGTGTCATAAGTCAGTCCTGTAGGGCCAGTGTCCGGGAAAATTTATCTCCAACTTGCTTCTACACACCTGCCCGGAAGTTTCTATATCCAAGCGCTTGATTAGATAGTTCAGGTGTGTTTGATTAGGGTTGGAGCTAAACACTCGAGCACACCGGCCCTCCACGACCGAGTTTGGACACCACTGATTTAGATGGTCTACGTTTAGCCTAGCTTAGCTGAGCTCATTGCATCTGAGTAGACCATTAGCATCTCAACAACACTATCACATGTTCAGAGTAGTATTAAAAGAACACTTCATTTTTGTGGAGCTGGAAATAGGCTCATTTACAATCTTTTATAGTCGAGATTTAACTTTAATCCTTTTAGATGGTCTACGTTTAGCCTAGCTTAGCATAACTCATTGAATCCGATTAGCAAATTAGCATCTTAAAATATTTTTTAAAGTTATTTTATTTTCTGGTATGGCTAATATGAACTATAGTCTCATTCTTGCATAACAATCAAGCAACGTTGCTACTGTGACATAACTGCAGCAGATGTAATTATTTTGAATAGCGCTGTTAAATACCTCCAGTTTGAGGAGATGTTAATCTGTCCACGTTAGGTAGAACTTGTTCTATCTTCATTTCATATCCACATGCAAGCAAACATCAATCTTTAAATTATAAGGAAACACTGAAGAACCACTTTCTTTTCTATAAGCTAAATCATCCTTTCTGTGTCTCCAGTGTCCTCAGAGTGTCCCGCCATCAGCATGTCTTCAGAAGCGTCGTCTCCAGTGAAGTCCACTACTCCTCCTCTGTCTCCATCCTCCCCGGTGTCCCCCAGCGCTCTGCACCTGCCCACTTGCCGCAACAGAGCCCGCTCGCCCTCACCCATGAGAAGTCACCTGATCCCCAGCCCGCTGCCCACACGCCGCAACCGCACCTGCTCTGCGTGAGTACAGCTAACCATCCACCATTACTACATTTAAGTCGTTTAGGCAAAGTAAGGTACACTCCTTCAGGGCTCTTCTGTAAGTCGTGTACAAATTTAGGCTATAATGCACAAAATAGGGATATTGACATCATAAAATGACAACAGACATCGAAACTTAATTCTAAAATCTCAATAGAATCTTTGAATATAATGTGACAAATGGCAATTTCTTGCAATCTTTAATGAAGGGGCAGAATCACCACTATGGCCACTCTAGTAGTTGTAGAATTCTGGTAGTTCTACCAGAAATACTTTTTAGAAGGCAGATAAACGTTTTAACACTTATTGAGAATAGTTTGGATAAATGTGAGTTTGTTACTGTCCTTTTATAAAGTCTATTGGCGTAAGCCTTGTCTATGGTGCAGAACTCTGGATGAGCTGGCAGGTCCTGCCTGAAGATAAAGGCAGGCAAAGCCAACCCTCTGAGTGGAGACGAGGCCGACCTGTTGGTGGTTGTGGCGGGGAGGATGGAGGGAAATTTCAGCAACGTTACCCGAGTACAGCGAAACATTAGCCCCTTTCACACATACATACCTTTCCGGAAAATTACCGGCAATTTTCCGGAAAGGTTGTATGTGTGAACAGGCCATTTTTGAAAATACCGGTAAATTCGTTCTGGCTATTTTCCGGAAAGAGAAGTTGTAACATTACCGGCAATTTGCCGGAATGCTGCGCTGTGTGAATGCAGAAGGAAGATAGCCGGAAAGAGCGCGTCCACGTCTAGAACGTGCTGACGTGAGACACCTGCTTTAGCCAATCAGAACAGTCAGACGCATTCACGTCCGCGCGGTTTATGAGAATAAAAGCCTTTGAATATTTTTCCAGACACCTTTAGCTGCTAGAGGTTAGTCAGATCACGTTTCTATGTTCCTTCTTAATGCTAACTGTGTAAATAATTATCGATAAAATGTTTATGATAATCCGTTGTTTGTTTACCTTCAAGCTTTGCGTGTGCCCGTGAGCGCCCATAGCGCCAGCACACACACACACACATATCATGAACATCTCGACATGCGAAAGTGTTTCTCTATGTTTTCATTGGAGTTGTACTCAATACTGATCCATCCGAAGAGTTTGTAATGTAGTCAAATGTTTACAAACACAAGCGCAGCCGATTAGAGGTCATTTCTGGTTAATGATGTCAGAATTTTCTGGCATTTGGTGTGTGGATGTGTGAATGCTCTTTTCCGGAAAAATTCCGTAACGTCCTCGCCTGTGTGAACAGCGTTTTTTTTAATTTACCGGTAAAGTCGTTCTGGAAATTTTCCAGATATTTACCGGTATCACTGTGTGAAAGGGGCTATTGTTTAGATGGGCTCATATGTAGCGTGCTTGGTTGTTGTAGGCTGACGAGATCATTATTATGACTAAGCTTTCATTTCCAATGTTAATTCTCACTTTATAACCTTTGAAAGGCATTTTCGAAGGCTTGATTATGTTAATTGGCTGCATGGTAATCTTTGTTCATGCTTTGTCTAAAATAAATCACTTTATTAATTAGGCAAATTCACTTTTTTATTCTTTATACTTAATATTATACCATCTACCTAATTCCAGACAAATATTTTGGTGTTTAACTAGTCTCGCAGTTTTCATCCCAGACCCTTGAAATTGGGGGTTTATCAGGATTGGTGTGCTATGCCTTTTATCAGGTGTCAGGGTTTTTTTGACAAGCAGAATCGTATTGACTTAACATTGCACCACATTTTGACGAATCATGACGCCAAAAGTGAATTTCGTAGAAACATGAGATTCACAACATCTGATGACGTTTGCAGCCTGAGTTAGGACATACTCTCCGCAAAGGGGTAAAAGTCGTACCCCTGTGCTGACACACGTCCTGAATTTCCCATCGACTTAACATTTTACATTAGGCCAGGGTCACCAAACTTGGTCCTGGAGGTCCGGTGTCCTACAGATTTTAGCTTTAACCCAAATCAAACATACCTGAACAAGCTAATCAAGATCTTACTAGGTATACTTGAAACTTCCAGGCAGGTGTTTTGAAGCTAGTTAGAGATAACCCATGCAGGGACACCGGCCCTCCAGGACCAAGATTGGTGATCCATGCATTAGGCCATTAGGGTGGCGCGGTGGTGCAGTGGGTAGCACTGTCGCCTCACAGTAAGAAGGTCACTGGTTTGAGCCTCAACTGGGTCAGTTGGCATTTCTGTGTGGAGTTTGCATGTTCTCCTCATGTTTCCATGGGTTTCCTCCGGCTGCTCCGGTTTTCCCAAAGACATGGGCTATATGTGAATTGGGTAAATTGTACGTAGTCTATGTGTGAATGTGTGTGTTTCCCAGTGATGGGTTGCAGCTGGAAGGTCATCCGCTGCGTAAAACATGTGCGGTTCATTCTGCTGTGGTGACTCCTTATTAATAAAAGCACTAAGCTGAAAAGAAAATGAATGAATGAATTAGGCTATTCAAATCCATTCATTACATTGACTCCCATTATAAATGTCACACATCAATAACATTCCAAAAGTGTTGTACAGTCTTGACGGTTTGCTTTATTTGACTCATGCAACCAATCAGCATCTCAATATAATAATGAAGCTTTCAAGCCATGCCCCCAAACCATTTCAACTTCCTTAATAGGGGTGGGATAACCCACTAAAATATATTGATCCTATTGACTCCCTTTATAAATGTCACACATCCACGACATGATATAGCACTGTCATACAGACAAGGGTGTGGGCTCATTTGACTCAAGCAACCAATAAGCATCTCAATATGATAATGAAGCTCATAAGCCATGCCTTCAAAACCATTTTACCAATAATAAATTCATTTATTTTTATTGTTGTTTTTAAATTTAGGTTTAAATTTTATTATTATTTAATCTTTTTTTTAAGCCATGTTTGTTTTGAGGTTGATCTTATGTAGAGATTACAGACTGCCTTTGTCGTCTTCCTCCTCCACTGCAGTGCAGCTCGGGCCGCTGAAGGTCCGGTCTTTTCTGGCGTTTGCAAGTGCTTTTCACGTTCCAAAGGACACGGCTTCATCACGCCGTCAGACGGAGGCAATGACATCTTCGTGCACATTTCTGAGTGAGTTCACTGAGCAAACAAGATTTCATGCTCCTGCATCAAAACCAACACACACACACACACACCTCTACAAACACTGATCATCAAGGTGATGCAGATGCAGTCAGACAGAGTCTAACACAAGCCAGCATTAATATACAATGCTGTTGCTGCTGGACCGTTTGTTGATGGCTTGAAGCAATAGCGAAGGAGGGTCTTCTGGGAATAGAAACAGTGTGGAAAGGTTTTAAGGTCAAAGCTCAGTTAAACTCAAGTTTGAGAGTTGAAAGCATTGACCAGCTTCTCTCAGATCAACTGTACTTGATCACGGGGGAAATGGATCGCCATCTGCCCACTCTTCACACATTCACAAGAGTTTTTTGATGGATTTAGAAAATGTTGCAAAGCTGGTTGGTTAATTCTGAATTGATTCTGAGTTACATTTAATCGTATTTGATCAGTTACTTTAAAGGCAATATAACATTGCTCTGTTTAAATTCCATCGTGCATTTCCAGATGAATGTTCAGCTGGAAAAAAATAGTATATGTTAAACATAAAATAATACATACATTTGATGTCTCATTAAATATATATATAGGGGTGCAACAGATCACGGTTGATCTGTAGTTGGTATGGATCACAAGCAACTGTTTGGAACACTAATATATCAATTAAAGGTGTTTTGGGTAGGACAAGAACTCCTTTTAATATGGAAAATAATCCTCCTATCGCGTGCCGTTGCTTTTATTTAGAACACAGTCTAAATTACTCACTCCTGTCCTCAATCTGGCAACCTGCGCTTGCATGCGTTTTGATCCAGAAGTGCAATACCTAGTTCAACCACTGGGTGTCAAACTTACATACTGCACCTTTAATACTCATGGCTTTTATTTCTCAGCAGGTAATTTCAAAAAGAGAATTAATCTCTGAGAAAATGAGAACTTTAAAATATATATAAAAATTTTATATTATCAAATTTAAGTTACATTTGAGTATGGTGTGTGTAAAAATGTTTTTAAAAATGTTTTTTAATCATTTTATTTTGGGACATCTTAAAGGAATTAACTTATTTGTTTTTTTACAAATGTAAGGAGATTGAACATAAAACTATTAAGTTGATAGTAGAAACATGAGATCAATCAAAGTTGACCCCCAAACCCCCCCCCCCCCCCCCCAATCGAGAGTTGTGTTGTTTCTGCTCATTTGCAGTAAGTAGTTTGAATAAACAGCAGCCATTTTTTTGTGTGCCAAAATATTTATTAATTAATGTAAATGTAGGGCAAATGCAGCTTTCAAAACATAATATCATATATATCATTAATATTAAAGCTTTTGACTCTGAATGTCAGTGTTTCCCAACCCTGTTCCTAAAGGCACACAAACAGTCCATATTGCATATAACAGTCCACCTCTTCCTATTCAAACAAACCTAAATCAATTCATCACATAAGAAGTTAATGGTTCAGATAAGGGAGACAGCCGTAACATGTACTGTTGGTGTGCTGATCAGCTGAATGTCTTCCATATGTAGGCCTTCATTAACAGAGGCGTTTCTGTAAATCCACTGCGCACATTTCTGATCTTCGCTGTTCTTCATCTAGCATTGATGGCGAGTATGTGCCTGTGGAAGGAGATGAAGTGTGCTACAAGATCTGCTCCATTCCACCCAAACACGAGAAGATCCAGGCCGTGGAGGTGACCATCACTCATTTAGCACCCGGCACCAAACATGAGACCTGGTCAGGAGCCGTGTTTGAATCCTGAGCTCCAGCCGGACATCTGCATCTGAACTCTATCATGAAGGATCTCCCGCTCGCAGAGGCTTCTGGGCCTTTCCTGGAGGTTTGTGGGGACTGGACCAGGTCAAAATCAATGCCTTGATATAATGCCACAAATACACACATATTAAAAAACAAATGACTTGCATTTTATTTTTTCTCTCATTCTTTGAGCTCAGGAGGGGGGTTTGTTTAAAATCTCTCTCTAAATGGCTTTCTGTTTAATTATGTGGCATGAGCTGAGCTCAGTTTATCCCTCACACTAACTATCTGTGAATCCTCCATTCATTTGATTAGTCTTAAAGGGACAGTACACCTAAAATTGTACTTACCCGTTTGAGTTGTTCATCTGTTGAACACAAAAGAAGATATTTTGAAGAATGTTGGAAACTGATAACTATTGAATGTGATATTAGTTTTTTTTTTCTCTTTCCTACTATGGATGTCAATTTCTACCAGTAATCAAAATGTCTTCTTTTATGCTCAACTGATGAAAGAAACCTGGAAATGTTTGATTTTGTGGGTGAACTGTCCCTTTAAGAACATGAAGCCTTAATGCATATCTAAACTGCTTAACTAGATAGGTTTCCATATTTTTATTCACAGAAAAAATATGTATGTCTGCATTGTTGTGAAAATATATCATTTTGATCAGTGTTTCTCAACCATGTTCTCAGAGGACCACCAGCTCTGCACAATTTCCATGTCTCCTTAACCAAACACACCTCATTAGTGGAGACTGAAAGAGCTGTAATAGGTGTGACATACAAAGGAGACATCTACATGCAGTGCTGGTGGTCCTCCAGGAACGTGGTTGAGAAACACTGATTTTGATCATTTCTTGTGAGCATGTGATGATGATTTTGCGAATAAATATTAATCAAACACAAATAAATATTAATCAAAATGGTATTTATTTTAATATATTTATTTCAGAACAACATGTAGATTTAATGTAAAATTACATCACTATATTGTTTTGCTAATATGACTACTCATAACAGTGTAAACCATTTGCAGTTATTAATTAATAGTCATTAGTATGGCTATTAACAATACACATCTCTCAATGAAATACTGACTTGACTTACTGACAGACAGATGCAGCTTTAACATTGGCTCGATGCTGCCCATCGACAACATTAAAAGAACATTTAAAAGGCATCCAAAACAGCATTTCTAGGTTAAACCAACATATAGGACACAATAACATCACAAAATTATAACACTCTTTGTTAGAGGCTGGCATTTTGTACATATTTATATTTGATGCATTAATGGTGGTTAATTAAAAGATTTGATTCTGAAGCTGCTGGGGGAAAATATTTGGCTAACGAAGCGTACACAGTGAACATTTCACGACTACAGTGTTGTTTAATGCTGCCTTCATGTTCTACTGGAATAATCAACACAAGCTCACACATGTATTCGCATAGCTGTTTCATTAAGTGGCGAATTTGTAGATTATCTTTAGCATGAATTGCTGATCTCCCAGTGAGAGTTGGGTTTAGGATCACGTCTCCTTTTTAATAAAATCATACATTTTCACATGACAGCCACAATACCATTTATTATCCACCTCATCTGTAAAATAGTTATGCTTTCTAATGAGATCCTGCTGAAATTATAAATATAAGCTTTTAAGTCTGAAGTTAGACCGCTTCAGAACAGTGTTGCCAACTTAGCAATTTTGTTGCTAGATTTAACAACTTTTCATACTACCCTAGCAACCTTTTTTTTTTTTTCAAAAAGCACCTAGCAACAAATTTAGCAGTTTTTAACATTCATTTGGCTACTTGTAGCAATTTTTAAAAAGTGACTCAAAAGAGCAGTTTCAAGGCTTTACTCAGTTATGAAAACAATCTGAGCTAGCAATTTACTGTTAATGTATAATAAACATGTATAATTCTTGGTAATTCATGTAGTAATAAATTCTAATAGTGATAAAATTTGTCACTTTCACAAATGTGTTAATTTCACAAGTTAAAACAAGTACACAAGCTGTGATTGTTTAGAACAATCTTTGTCCTGCAAAGTTTAGTTCCAACCCCAGTCAGACACACCTGGGTGTGCCAATCAAGCTCTTACTAGGCTTTCTAGAAACATCCTTGCTGGTTTATTAAGGCAAGTTGGAGCTAAACTCTGCAGGACACTGGCCCTCCAGGACCAAGTTTGGACACCCCTGGTTTAGAAGAATGTAAATGTTCATTATCAGTGTTATATTTAAAAAAAAAAAAAATCTTTAAAAAGTGTTCATCAATCAGTAATCAAAAAGTGTTCCTTTTAAAAATAGTAAACTGTATTTTTCATAGAAATCTTAATGGACATATTTCAAATAATGTTTGTGCTGGGATGGCCATGTCAATTTGAGAAAGCATTCATTATTTCGTATACTACATAAAGATGTAGTTTTGAGTTGCGATTACACAATGACGTCATCACGCAACGAAATATGTTAATAAGAACTCATGTATTGTGCATCTGGATGTAATATTCAAATATAATTTAATACACGGCACCTCAGAGTAGAAACATGACGGGCTAACTTACATGACGTCACTGATATACAAATTAGTCCATGATGTCATCTGGCAACATTTAGCTACTTTTGATTGTAAAGCTGCATAAATGGAACATGCTAGAACAGGGGTGTCCAAACTCATTCCTGGAGGGCTGGTGTTCTGCATTGTATAGCTCCAACTTCCTTCAACACACCTGCCTGGAAGTTTCTAGTATGCCTAGAAAGAGCTTGATTAGCTGGTTCAGCTGTGTTTAATTGGGGTTGGAACTTAAATATGCAGGACACCGGCTCTCCAGACTAGAACATGTGCTACAAAGACAATAGATGGTATGTCGTGAAGTACACTCATTTGTACATTTGTATTGCAGTTTGTTTTGTACGCGTAATAGTTAAATGAAGTGTACTTCGAAAGGCGTTTGACTGTGTAAAAAGTGCTGTATACTTTAGGTTTTACATATACCAACATTTACATGTTCAATACTTTCTTCATTTGTTTTTTTTTTGGTGTATAAATTATCACACCTGAGCACTTTAAACCTAAAGTATACTTCCGTTTTTAGACATAAAGCCCAGAGTATGTTTGTTTAACATTTAAATGTGTATAAGACATGAGTGAACAGTAGAAATATGGTGAAAAGTTGAGACTATTTCAAATTTATCTTTATAATCTCTTGAATTGATTGAGAGTTTAGTTTTTAACAGCAGATGGTGCTCTGGGCTAGTATTTAACCATACACTCAAATACACAGGATTTTGGCTGAGTCATGCAAGTTGATGTATGTCTCGAAGATAAATCAAATTGTACTATGAACACTGTACGACTGAATACCTGCAATATACAGCACCGTCTGTTGCTAAAAGCTTAACTTTGAATCAATTCAAGAGCAAAAGCAATGCATTTTAAGTCTCAGAATTGATGTCACAAAAGATTTTCACCACCATTTAGTGCAGTGTTTCTCAACCACGTTCCTAGAGGGACCACCAGCACTGCATAATTTAGATGTCTACTTTGTCTCTCACACCCATTACAGGTCTTTCAGTCTGCTGATGATCTGAATCAGGTGTGTTTGGTTAAGGAGATGTGGAAAATATGCAGAGCTGGTGGTCCTCTAGGAACGTGGTTGAGAAACACTGGTTTAGTGGGTAGTATGCGAGTACTCCACATGCGCTGCCCCATTTTTAAGACTACTCTTTGAAACTTAAGTTGCCTCTTTGACGATTCGAGGTATTGAACATCAGATGCGCACAATCTTAATGTTACTTCATATAAAACTGAGGATGTTCTGGCAGTTTCAAAAGTATGCAGAGTCACAAATGGACACCAAGAAAACAATGTTTGTATTTTAAAGAAGTGGCACTTTTCGTCTGCACCAGTGCGATAGGATCAAACTACCGTAGAATGCAAAAACAATAGCCGACAAGTGCTTAAACAATTAAACCACATCAGCAACTATAGTTAAAACAAATTCTAAGATCTTTTTAAAATGTAAATATTTGGATCCGGACAACACAAAATGACAAGTGTCTAGTCTGAAAACTCAAATGGTGTATAATTTGAAATCCATGTACACTTAAAGAGATAATTCACCCAAAAGTGAAAATTTCCTCACGGTTTACTCACATAAAAGTCAGAAGTGTATTTATTTCTTCTGATGAACACAAAGAAAGATATTCTGAAGAATGTTGTGGGGAAAAAACACCATCAACATCCATAGAAGGGGAAAGAAAAAATTACTATGGAAGTCAAAGGCTGTTATGCTTCCTTTGTGTTCATCAGAAGAAACTCAAATATGTCTGGAATAAGCAGAGGTTAAATAAATGAGGCTGACTATCTAATTTTTGGGTGAACTGCCCCTTTAGGAACTTCCCTGTAGCACATGAAGGCAGCATCCAAATATATAAAGAACGTTTAAAACAATCAAGCTGAAGGGACATGTCAGCTTGGAGAAACTGGAGCAGGAGAATCACCCCGAACATTGCAAACACGAACAGGCTGTCAAAACCATCACATGAAGATCACACCATGTCAATACCAGCCAGCAGAACAATATCGCTTTTCCCAGCACGGCCTGTAAATGAGAAACAGCAGGGGGATCATGTTCACCTGAGCAGAGCATGGTCAATATGAGTTTGTGCTTTTAAAACGCTCTCCCTGACAGATTTCTATTGTTGGATCTGATGGACGGTTAAGACTTTCATTGTTGCCTGATAATGCATGCGGAAGCGAAAAACCATCAGGCATCACGTTACCAAACCGGTTTGTGCTTTACAGGTTTTTGCGTTCCTAAATATGTGGATTAGAGTCCACATCTCTCTATGATTGAGGAATATTAAAATAATAAGGTCACCTCAAAAGTGACATGCCGATTGATTGAAGATCTTCAGCTTCAGAGACATCTTTACACAAACCTACAATTCACCTTCTCAGAATTTTCAGCCTGATCAATCCAACACCATCAGTTTTTAAAGTATAGTTCACCCAGAAATTCAAAAACACACAAAGATCATTTGAAGAATGTTTGAAAACAGTAAACATCAACATGCAAAATAGGGAGAACAAAATGGAGGTAAATGGTTACTAGTTTCAAACATTCTACAAAAAGATTAGTAGAGTTTCTTTTTTTCTTTTTTTTTTGAGTGAACTATACCTTTATTTCAGACAGGACCATCTGCAAAGTGACATCCTAAAGAGCATTCCAGTGCAGTTATATCTATCTATGTTATCATTTATCTCTATAACGTCTTTGCTCATCTTTTCATGCTTTAAACATTTCCTCATGCCTTTATACGACATTTAAAGGGATAGAAAATAGAAATATATTGCGATTGGAAATCCCCGTCTCTACTACACTGCTTTATTGGTCAGATTTTGGACGGTTGGAAAACATCTGACCTCACATTTCACAAGCTACGCTGTGACATCAGTCGCTTTCTAGGTCTATCATTTCAGTGAATGACCCTTGGTTAGCGTTGGGCTAAAATCAGTTTGGTCAAGAGAATTATGGTGGAGATGAGATGAATGAGAGGAGACAGAAGACAGATTGGTGTCGTCCTTAATGAGAGATGACAGGAGAGACAGAGAGCAGTTAATAGTGTGAGGCTGCTGGAAAGCCTCCAGTACTCTTTGTGTGTTTGATGATGAAGGCCAGACACTACTCTATTTATGCTCAGCCAGGACGTCATTCAGGATGTTCAGCAGCTGATGGACATGATACTCCTTGAAGACTAGAGCAGGACGGAAACGGATGGATTTTTCTCCACAGGAACCCAGAAATACACCTGACCAGAAAAATGAGCAGTTTAGAGAAAAACCTTGCACTGTGTGGACAAAAATGTATGCTTACTACTAATTATATTGTGTAGTAGCTGCTACTATCATTTTGTTGTCAATTTAAATTGATTATATAATTATTTAAGTCATAAAAATGGTTTACAGTTGTGGTGTTTATTGCCCATAATGATAAATATAATTTTTACATAGTAATTTAAATGTAATGGTAATACATGAATTATCAGTGGGTCTGCACAATATATCCTTTCAGCATTGATATCACAATGTGCACATCTGCAAGTCACATCGCAAGACATGCAATGATGAGTCTGAATTTTAGCTGACCAGGAGCTACAGAATTCTATTTAATTACTGTATTTATCAAATTTATGATTAATAATTATATATATATATATATATATATATATATATATATATATATATATATATATATATATATATATATATATATATATATATATATAGTTGGCGAATAGCCTGGTGGTTAGCACATCCACATATGGTGCAATAGCACGTCAGGGATACCCGTGTTCGAATTCCGGCTCGAGGACATTTCCCTACCCTACCCCCTTCTCTTTCTCCAACTTCGCTTCCTGTCTAAATACTGTCCTAAAATAAATCTTTAAAAAAAAAAAAAAAAGTTGTAAAACAATTTTACTTACCCTACTGGCAGGTAATTTAGCTTGTTTTAAAAGAAAAACTCTTCATTTTGAAATTTTTTATGAAGGTGAAAACAATATTTTTTACTTTAATTGTTTTGATATTTGACTAAAAATGAGACAAAGCACATGTCTCCAAAAGCATTTAAGAAAAGCAGTTTTTTTGTGTGATTGTTTTCTGTATTGGAATACTGTTAGACTCCAGCAGAAATCCATCAAATACAGCCATTCAATCCATCTTGTAAAACTATTCATATAGCAATATTTTAATCGCATAAAAATAAAACATTGGCAATATCAAAATTTTCCAATATCGTGCAGCCCTAATTAATAGGATTATAAATTGCAACAACATGTATTAATTAGTATATTAACATGCACTACTGGTCAAAAGTTTGGGGTCAGTTTGTATTTTTATGCCGTTTTTTATTTTTATAAAATTATTCTGTTTATCAAGGCGACATTTATTAAAATGTAACAAAAATGTTAAATTGTTAAATATTTATTAGAATTTTAAATGACTGCTTTATTGTATATCGTTTTAAATGAAATTAATTACATAAAACTACAATTATTTTATACAACAAATAGTCAAAATATAATATTCATCATCTCAAACAACAAGTTACTACAGCTGTTGCAGGGAATTATGGTCATTGCAAAATTAGTAAAAATATATAATAAAAATAAATAAAAATACAACAAATATATTTGAAGTCAATATTATTTAATGATGTTTAACAGAGCACTGCAATTTTCACAGTATGTCTGATAATATTTTTTCTTAAACAAAAAGTCTTATTTGTTTTATTTCGGCTACAATAACAGCAGTTTTAAATTTTTTAAACACAATTTAAGGTCAAAATTAATTGCCCCTTCAAGCTATATATATATTTTTTTTTGATTGTCTACAGATTAAACCAGATTATCCCTGTTAAACAGAAATTAGTGAAAAAATAAACAGGCTAATATTTCTGACTTCAACTGTATGTTATATATATATATATATATATAGTAATTGTAATTTTTTTTACCTGAGATATAGTTAATATTCTTAAATATAATAATAATTATTATTTATGAGTATTTATGACATTGCAAATCTATTTTACTGTAGTTCCTTGTTGTCACTACTTAAAATCTAAATAAGAAAATATTGAAATAATTGTGTTCCAGTAAATGTCAACTCTGGACATGGTGTGTGTGTGTGTGTGTGTGATGGCGTACCCTTGTTCCTGGCCTTCAGCATGATGGAGTCACGTGTGGCATCACTGCTGGCGTTGATGGCACAGAATGTTCCCTGACCACGGGCTCCGCTCAAGAGATGAGGATACTGACTCTACAATAGACAACGAAGAAACCATCATCAATCCACAACAAACACTCATTACATGACATGATGGATTACGCTGTCATTCTGTCTCCGGCTGCAGGAGTGATGAACATCCTCTTAAGACAACCATTAAGGTGAATAGGGTAAAAGACAAAAAAAGTACTATTTATCACCACACTTACACAGTGGATTTATTACTCAAAGCAAAAAAAAAAAAAAAAAGTTCACAAAAAGTATCTAGTTCTTTGCTCTAAAATGTTATATATAAATATGCACTCAATTGCTGCATACATTTCTAGCCTTAAAATCATCAAATGAATTCATATCAGAAACTAGTTTTTATAAGTTTTTTTTTTGAGTCAAAAGGTTTTAAAGAGGGGAAATACTTGCATCATCACAAGATTTAGAAAATACAGTCAATAGTGAGAAAATCCTCTAAATATTTGTAGCATAAAATGTTGGATATAATCAGGCAACTTATGTATGAACAAATGAATAAATAGAAATAAATATTATGGAGCATCAGAATACATGCATGTATTTGGCGAATGCAAGCACTGGTGTTAATAATAGTAAATAATGGTATTAATAATACATTTAATTATTAATAAAAAACAATTAGAGCATATAAACAGATTCAATGAAAATACAAAGATGCAGTCAATAGGGGCGATGAACATATTAAGCACTACAATGCTGCTCAGAATCTGCATTAAATTGGTCCAGATGATCAAGAAATGATTGCCATATATGGTAAAACTTAGGGATATATGTGTAAAAAATCTGCAGATTTATGCGGAATGATTTTATGAGTATCATAACTAAAAACTTCATATATGAAATTAACAAATATAGATTTTTAACTTCTATTTAATGTTTACAATGCTAATGCAATTAGATCCACTTATTTGTTAAATAAAGCAAGTCTCTCATATAACAGATCTACTAATAGACAGAAAATATTACTTTACAAACTGTATTGTAAATAAATCATATGAAATTTTTAATATTATTATTATAATCACAATTATATTAGTGAAATTCATTTAAAAACTGAATTAATATTACACAAGTAAATACATAGAGTCAATGGGCTAAAAAATGCAGATTTTATGGATGTGCACATTCCATGTGGGCCTACTAAAAACTCCATAACGGACTCTTTCCATGTGCAACATTTAAGTGAGATAGGTTAACCATGTCTTAAATTGAGGAATAATCTGACAGATTTAGATTTGAAAAAAAAATAATAATAATATTGAGGAAATTACTTTTACAGTTGTGCAAATTAGTTATCAATCTCTCAGAAAAGCTTTTTCTAATCAAAAATTTGGCATAAAACAAAATGTATCCGCTTGTTAAGAGTGACGTTACACAGAGCAGCCATCTGATTCAAGTGTATCAAACTGTATGGGGAGACTCATCAAATGGTAATAATAAACATTTATAAAGCGATGTAATACTTTCATGATCGCAGTATATATATCCATGCCTAATGGCCGATGGCCAGAAAGTCATAGTTTTTTTTAGAAATTGTTAAAATGTTGTTTATGATGCAGCAAGCCCAGAGACTGTTGTGTACACTATGATTGTATAAAACAATTTAATTGAATGTGTGATTTAACTAAAAAATTATCATAAACAAATATTTTCTAACACAAGCAGAGTGGTGTATGATGAAGCGGGCTGTACCTGTAGAGCATAGAGCCCCTGCAGAAGAGCTTTGCCTGAACGCGTCACCTGCTCCAGAAGGTTCTCTCTCCTGATCACATTGAGCACCTCTGATAGGAACAGATTCTTGGAAGGGTCTCCCATCCACGTGTTGAAGATTCTGTAAGGCTAAAAGTGCAGAGCATTGTCAGATCAAATGCTCAACTTCATCTGCTTTCACACTCCAGCTCCCTCACAAAAGCCATGCCACTCCACAGCTAACAAATCCATTATTCTAAACCTTTTCAACAGATCAAAACAGGAAAAGGGCTATTTTAATTGGCTTGTTTTAAATGGATCACCACCCATAATTAAATATCTTAAATGTATTATTTTATTTCTTCTGTTGAACACTTGAAAATATTTAATAATATTTAATGACAAAACACTGTGCATTATAAATCTGAGATGCAAATAAACTATATAATACACAAAAGCTTCAGTTAAAGTCTGTGAGAACCAAAAGTTGCTGAGACTCATTTCAGTATGTTGATGTGTAACAGATTTTTACATCAGATTTCGCCTATGCTACTGTTGTCTATTGGAAGGAATGAGTCAATAGAGCCGCCATTTTAGTACAGGGTAGTGCTATTTGAAATGAACGCGCGACCAAGATGTAGAGGACTGGCCATCCAGAGCCAGAGATATATAGACATTTATACATACATCTATTATCTGGAGTTATCCTGGGGGTCATCATGCATTTTTTTTTTTTAATTACAGAAATTATTTATCCATCAATGTAAAAAAGTGATGGAAAATCATGATCGCACAGGCATTGATGACAAAGAGGATGTGTTTGTGTGCATGGAAATGTATTATCCTCCCTCTTTGTTAAATTTGATCTAATCTGTGTCATGAAACACAACACCTTTTCCTGCTTTCACTTCATGTTCTAACAGAGAGAGCGATTCGTTTGTGAATGAATCTTCGTTAACGACTCTTGTGAACCATCGATAGATCTCTGCGTCTCAATGGTATGTAACATTTGTAATATTCAATATTTTGGGTGGACAGTGCACACATTGAGGCGCAGGCACTGTTGTGTTATCAGGCACCCTTACAAGCTACTTCAAACACTAGTCGTTACAGGCGACAATAATACAAGTTTCTGGCATCAGCGTCTTGTTGTCATATTTCATTTACACAATTTGCTGATTTGCTGTAGTCTTGACTAATGCGGTTGAATGACTTTTGTCCTGGGAGCACTGTACAAATATGGCGGTGGTATTGACGCATGTTCAGGGCCCATATACGATATCTACTGTATATATATATATATATATATATATATATACATACAAGTACCGCAACTCTAGATGCAGAAGGAAATGCTCAGAATTTGATTGAAGATTATGAAAGTAAAAAAAAATTCCAAGTTGATTAACTTGCCCAGATGAATTGTTCACATAGAGAATAAAAATGTGTGCGAGCAAAACAAACATTGTAAATTTTGATTTCTCACAGACTTTAAGTTTCATCACTATTTTACTGTTTTTATTATTATTATTATTCTCAATAAGAACAAACCATTACAACAATTTAAAAGGATGCATAAATAGTTCTTTCATTAAAAGTTTTTCAGTTCAGTCAGCTTTGATTCTTGTTGTGCAGTTATTTAATAAAAAATAAATGTAGTCAATACATTACTGTGTGAGAATTTAGCCTGTAGGATGCAGACAAAAAGTATGTTTTCGACAGTAGGGGGCGCTAGTGCTCAGCTGCAGACAGCTGAATAAACCTCATTTGAGGACATGCAATCGTTTATTCTGACTGAACAATCATCAGCTCCTAAACCCCATTATAACGCCATTTATCAGCAAACGGTGCGCTTTCTGATTTTGCACGAGGGGATGTTTGTGACAGCTCTTACTTTGTCAGGCTGCAGTTCATCTCTGTGAAAATATCCTCCGGTCAGCATCTTCTTGCTGAAGGACACCAAATCCGCAGGGTCGTCCAGACCCCAGTGCTCATGAGCCCAGAATTTGCCCGTTGCTCCTCCACCGGTCTGAACCTCATCAACGTGGAAACCACAGCCATGCTGAAACAAGCAGACACAGACAAATCTGTCAACCCATTGTCTGTCAAATCCCAGTGCAGTCCAGAGTTCCCATGCTTTCATGAACACGAGGTTCAAGGACTTTTAATAGCACCATTCATTTTAAATCAATTTAAACTGTCAGAATCCTTACTGTACTTGACTTTTTACTTACACTTGATATTTACATAAAGAGTAATTTTGAAAAAAAGAAAAGAAATTTAAATTCTAAGAGTTTTAATAAAATTTGATTTGAATTTAATATTGGATATATTTAAATGCTGCTTCTGAAATATTGAACAATTGTGCATTATTTGACAGTGTTATTGTACAAGATTTAAATTTAGGATTTTTAATTTAAGAGTTTCTCAGTTTTATCATTCTGTTTTTGACAATTAAGTACAATTATTAAAATAAAACCATGAAATTATTTAAATTAAAATTGAATTTAAGCACTTGCAAGGATCTATGTCTGTTTGTAGATACATTCCAGGCCTTGAATCACACACCTGAAATTAAATTACTTTCAAAAAGCGCAGGAACCCTGGCAGCCACACAACACATGCTGAACATTGACATGCTTCATTTTAAGTGACCACTTCTTTTTTTTCTCAATTCAATTCATCTTTATTTCTATTGCATTTTCACTATGTAGATTGAGTTAATGCAGTTTAACAAGAGGAAAAACCATAATATTTCAAACTGTGAAACATTAGGTGGGGTGGGGTAGAGGTTGATGGTAAGTGTAAATCTGGCATAAAATATATTTTGCACAAATGTGCTTCATACTAACACATTCCCTTCAAAAACTAGTTTGATTAGTGATTTGGAAGTCAGGAGTCAATATGTTACTTGGCAGATCCAAAAATTAAACATTTGTTATTGTTTTTTTTGAGCACAGACATGGTTAATCAAGCTGCTACAGCTAGTAAACAGGTCCAGTATATCACCAGCTGCAGTGGTGCCATGGGTGATTAAGTCGTGTAGTATTATATCACTATTAAACCAAATCTGAATGGTGCCCTTTTCCTGATGTTTGCAGATAAAGGCTTACCAAAACTGGTTTACTACAGTAGGTTGTCCTTTTTCATGTTTTCTGAGTTTCCAGATGCGCCATACACCCAATTATAGCACTTAAAGATGGAAAAATTCAGATTTTCATGATATGCCCCCCACGATATGCCCTTTTTGCCATAATAACAGCTATATTAAATTATGTCCTATTGTGTCCTGCCTTATCACATTTAGAAAGACTCAAATTAGAGCAGATAAAAGAACTTCCTGCAGAGCTGCGAGTGTCTTCTTTTATTTGATCATTCAAAGAGTCTTTTTTATATATATATATTCATAAATGGAGTATCCTTCTGACAGTACTTCAAAGCAGAGACGGAGTGAGTGAGGAGTACTGTGAAGGATAATGAAGCATTAGAGTAGAGTTATCCTGCAAACGAAGAGCTTTACCTTGCGTGCAATGTTTCTTAGTTTGATGAAGAAGTCTGGTGAGGCGTGATTGTCTCCTCCTTCAGCTTGGATGGGCTCGATCACAATACCAGCCACCGGTTTGCCCTTCTGCCTCCACTTCACTATCAGATCCTCAACCTGAAATCCATTCAGACATATTAAATCTCTAACTTGCATGTCAAAATAGTGATTCTAGTGAATTTTCTTATATTGGTTTCTTTTATTCCCGTTTATTTAAAGCTCTTTGAAATAACATTGTGTATGAAATGTGCTACATAAATAAAGTATAATTATAAATCCTAGTAGTTTACGGACTAAAATGAAAGTAAAAAAAAAAAAAAAAAGCTTCCTAACAGGAAATAAAATCTTAAAAAGAAAAAGTATAAATGAAACAAAGTTAGAAACATAAACATTTAAAAAGATAACAAAACTACAAAATGAAAAGCTAAAAGCAAAACCACAAAAAGCACAAAACAAAAATGCTAAACACATGTGCATCTGGAAAGTATTTATAGCGCTTCACTTTTCCACATTTTTGTTAGTTTCATTGCAAAATGGATTAAATTAATTTATTTCCTCAAAATTCAACACACAATACCCCATAAATGACAATGTGAATTCTTTTTTTTTCTTTTTGCAAATTTATTTAAAAAAAAAATGAAAAAAATATTTATATATATTCACATGTCCATAAATATTAACAGCCTTTGCAGTGAAGCTCTAAAGTGAACTCAGGTAAAGGTTCTGTTTCCACTGATCATTCTTGAAATGTTTCAGCAGCTTAATGGGAATTCAGCTGTGGTAAATTCAGATTGGACATGATTTGAAAAGGCATACACCTGTTTTGTAAGGTCCCAGGGTTGACAGTGCATGTCAGGTGTGCCAAGCTTGTGGCATCATATTCAAAAAGACTTGAGGCTGTAATCGTTACGAAAGGTGTATCAACAAAGTATTTAGCAAAGGCTGTGAGTACGTATGTACATCTGATTTTTCAGCTTTTTAATTTTTAATAAATTTGCAACGATTTCAAAAAATCTTTTTTCCACATTTTCTTTATGAGGTATTGTGTGTAGAATTTTGAGAAAATAAATTATTTGAATTCATTTTGGATTAAGGCTGTAACAAAAAAAATGTGGAAAAAGTGAAGCGCTATGAATACTTTGTGGATGCACTTTAAATGCTAAAGTCTAATAATAATAATAATCATTATTATAATAATAATTATCACAAAGACAAACAGCATGTAAATAAAACAAAATTAACATAAAACCAAATAAACTGATAAACTCTAAATTAACCAGCAGAAAATGTAAGCTTAAAGCTAATAATAATAATAATAATAATAATATTAAGCATCATCATCAAAAATGACATGCGTTGATATAATATTTCATTTTATCTACCTGTACATATCAGTTTGCTATCATTGAGATGTTATGCTATTCAGAGTTTAAGATTTTAATTTTACTGCAAGTTTTCTTATTTTTTTCAATATAGTTTTAATTCATTTCACATTATACTTTTAGATAGTCTAAGTGAAAATAAGAAGTATTTTATTTCTACATGTATTCAAATGTTAAATAATAGGGCATTATGATTGCCTCATTGTAATCCAGAATTTAATTGCTTACAGAGCTGTTAACTGAGCTGATTTTGCACGAAGCCCTGTACACCTCAGGGTTCCCACTCTTAACCAAATGTCAAATTCCTTTACTTTCCCTGACTAAAACACTGAATTTCCATGACCTATAATGAATGGAAAAACAAGGTGCAATTGTGCTTTGAATAATATGATGATTGTTTGAGCTTCAATATCATTTTTCATGAATTTAATAACCATTATAAGAGCAAAAAATAGCTAATTTACCTCAACATTTTAAAAAGCCATTAAAGGAAACAAGAGCACTCTAAAACAGAGTCTTTGAAATAATCATTTTGTAGCCAAAACTCTTGAAAAATAAATTTTTCTTTTATGTTTGCCTTAATTAACAGGTACAGCCTGGTGAATGCATGCAATTTAAGTGACTGGAAGTTGGCGAACGGGAAATGGAATAAAACGGTGCTGAATAAAAGCCCAACTATAACAAAAGGCAAAATGTGCAAAAATATGTGATTAAACAAATATGACGGTATAGAAAATTTACATTTTGATAAAAGGAAATCAGTGGAGTGACAAATTACAAATCCTCAAATGACTGTAATTGAGTAGGTTGTCTTAGGAATTGTTCTTTACTAAGTAGTGTTAAAAATGTGTACTTTTACTCTACTATTTTTCCTTCAAACTGCAGTCACTACTTCAGCCAAATTGCCATAGTCGAGACAAAAAAAAAAAGTAGAATCGTCAGAGCTGTGATTCCATTCCAATCAAAAAAAAAAAGAGTTGAATCATACAGAACAACCTCTAGAGACAGAAAGCACTAAATTGTTACACGCAATGACCAAGAGACTGTTTAGACCAGAGATGTACAAAATAGAGCCCGCAGGCCAAAATTGGCCCATGATAAGCTTTGATTTGGTTCGCCATCCTATCTGAAAAAGAAGATTGATTGGGAGCTTTAACAGAGGTCATCATTTTTAATTGAACAAAACTTTTTTTGTCTGTTTTATAATTGAGCTACTGTTTTTACTGTAATAACTTTATTATATATATATATATATATATATATATATATATATATATATATATATATATATATATATAAATAATAGTTCATAAAAAGCAATGTTTTCTAGTTTTTCTTTTTATATTATGAAAATAAATTAAGAAATAACTCATGGCAACTTTAATGTAATACAGTTCGTTATATTTTCCTTCAGCCCACAGACCTCAGTCAAGTTTGGTTTTTGACCCTTTATAAGAAAAGGTTTGGGCACCCTTGGTTTAGACTTTGACACTGATCAGAAGATGACCGTTATCTGCAGTATGATGACAGAAATTGTAGAATAGCCTTCAACAATAACTAAATGTACAACAGAATGTTTTGTTTCACATGTAAATGCATCAACTTTTAAGTGTTATAATATCTACTCATCAAGAGCACTCTTAAAAAGGCTACAATTTACTCATGCTTTCAGTAATATTTACAACATATACTTTTATTCTACTTGCACTACATTTTTGGGTAAGTAGAAATTAATGGCATGTTTCCACTGATCCGTATGGTCCCGTACAGTACAGTGCGGTACTCAAATATGTCAGTTTCCATGATCACACTACAAAAAAGTGCCAAAAATTGGAGCTAGACTCACTGCTGAACATTATTGGCTTACAGAAAAGAATCACTAGGACATGGAGCAAGCCAAGTCTTCTTGTAACCAACAAAATAAATAATAATTCTGTTCGGTTCATTTTATAAATGTAGTATTATTTAAAATGGTGTCTAAAAATGTGAGGAATCCACAACAGTAATATTTGAAATAACGATCCTGAGTTTACTAACCCTAACTGAATTTTTTTAGAGCGAGAATGTTCCTGAACGCAACATTTTGGTTTACTCTAAATCTAGCAAAAGAGCAATTTTCACAGTGGAAATGCAAGCCTGATCACGGTGACCCGTATCAAACTATAGTTACTAAATCGTACTGCTCAATGGAAATGAAGCATAATATTTAGAGAGACAAACAAAAGTGCCGGATTTTCAGGAACCTGTACAAAAAAAATCCTGATTTTTAATTTCTGCAACTGATCTTTTGAAATTCCATGATATTCCAAAAAATCCATGAGCCACGAAAACCCTGCATGTGAGAGATATTTGACTCTGACCTCCTCCAGACAGCGGGCTTCCTCCTGAGCATTCTCCCTCTCAAACTCCTCCAGAGGATACCGCAGCTTCGGGAAGGGTGCGATAGGCCAGTCGAAGGATGGGATGTCCAGCTTGTGGATGGCCTTGGAATGTGTTGTGGCCAGGCAACCTGAAATCCAACACCACACACACACAAACACGCATACTAGAGGGCCGATGTTCCAGGCAAAACAAAACATCTGCTGTTCAAATGAAGTCATCTGATACGAATAGCTCCACAGGAAATCAAATGCAATGCAAAATATATGTAAAGCCAGGCCACTGATCTCTGAATCTGAGCTCTAGCAAAAGACAACATTTTCAAGCACTTACCCAAAGTCCTCCCATGGAAAGCTCCCATGAAAGACAAAATGCTCAAATCTGGACATCCAGGACTCTAAGAGAGAGAGAGAATGAGAGAGAAAACTGTGTGTATAAAATGTATTTGTTGGTGGTGGAAAATTATATGCATAATGAGCATCTTTCATATTTTCTCTAACCTGATTGACCATGCAAGTGCCGACTTCCTCTTCGGAGGGGGTTGCATATCCTCTTTCTTTATTCTAGAAACCATTAGAGAGAAATAAAAGATATTAGATGATCTAGGACAGTGCTTCCCAAAGTAGGAGGGGGGAACGGTAGGGGGTGTCACAGGACAACAAAGAGGTGTCGCTTGGTGATTTCCAAAAATCTAATAAATTTTTTAAACCATTTGAATTACCATATTTAATCCATAATAGTAGTATATAGTTACAGCCATTTTGGGCGTCGCAGGCTGAAAATTTTGGGAACCCCTGATCTAGGAGATATTCATGCGCATAAAGTAGGACTGTCAATCAAATGACAATTAATTGATGACATGAATACAAAATGACAATGTGACATGACAAATCTACTTTGCAATTAATGTTATATAACTGGAACTTGTCATTTTTTTGTTCAATATTTTTTGCACAAAAATATTAGATATAGATATAGTCCTATTATAAAATTTATTGACTGATTAAGGATAATAATTGAAGATACAAGACAACCGTTTGAAATTCTAAATTAAGTTTTGATATACTTTTGAAATAGAACATTTTCAAAATTATATTTTAAATATGTATACAACATCTTTACAATAAACTACCAATATATGTTTTTTTTGCATTAAAAAATTACAATCTTGACCAATACAATGTGTTTACCTAAAGTTTAGCCCTAGTTTATATATTGATATATGATCATATGTATGAATAATAGTCTGTGCAATGTATTAATTTGATCTTTTAGTTTCTGCATGTTTCACAGAGTTTAACACCTTTTAAGACCATTATGACTGAAATTTGAGAATCATAAAGGGATAAAGGCTAAGAATTTTTTATTTTTTTTAATGGCCTAGATGGAAAATATTTTTTTTGCCCGATAAAAAAATTATTATAGTTTAATACATTTAATAATACAATAATAATAAAACAATTAAATATTTCAGATTTTATTTCTCAGCAAAATAGCACTAAATAGATAGAGAACTTTTTAAACAGTGTTATTGTAAGGAAAATAATTAAATCATTACGATAAATAGACTTTAAAAAATGACCTTTTTAGGCTTTTTGTAAGTTTAAAGTTTTATTGAGATGATTGTTGGTGATTGTATGGGATGTGGTAGCAATACATTAACAAAGAACATTAAAAGCTGTTAAAAAAGATTTTAAAAGACCTACAACACAAAATTTCAGTAAAAGACTTAAAATGTCATAAAATACAAATTTAAGTTCTAAGACTTTAAGGCCCTGCAGAAACCCTGTATAACATTCTCCTATTATGTTTAATTTAACATAAATTAAATTTTCCACAAAAATAATTAAAATGCTAAAATTTACCAATCAATAATTTTCTATCTACAGGGTTATTCACAATAATAGCAGTAATCTATTTTTTCAACTGTGATTGTTCAGTGTGTGCAAGAGCAAACTGAGGAAAGGGCACTCACTCTGTACCAGATAAACATGCTCTTGAAAGCATTCTCATTGGAGCAGGAGCCACAAGCCATGGTTTGCACTTTTGTCATCCCGCTGGGGGCGATCTGATGTTGAAGAAAGAATCATTTACAACAAAACATTTCAGGCCAATGTTGAAAAACAGTTATTTAGAAGGTTTTGGTTAAATAAACAAAAGGACTTCATTAAAATGAAGATGATCTTAAAGAATTGGGATCTGCAGCTTCATTATTGAGGAAGACACTGAAACGCTTCACACTACTTTTTAGCAGTTTCAGGATTATCAGCAGGACACATATGCTGTTATCAGCTTGTTTGGTAGTTTTTGGAAACGCTGATATTGCATCGTTCATGTGTGCATTAACACTCACCGACAACAGGCTCTCCGCCAGTTTCTCTGGAAAGTTCTCAGGTGGCAGGATACCAAGTGCCGGCCGGTTGACAAATGCACTCTGTTAAAAACAAAACAGTCAACCTAAGAGTTTCATTATTTTGTATTTATGTTTCCCCCTTTTCTACATTTATGTACTTTCTTAATAAAGAGTCATTTTTTTCCAACCAAAAATGAAAATTTTCATTTACTAACCCCAAGGTCATCAAAGATGTAGGTAGTTATGTTTCCATCCAAAGATGCAAATTAAATTTATGTGCAAAAGGGGAATATTACATAAAACACGTGCACATAAAGCAGCGTTTGCATTTAACAAGTCAAAGAGAACAAAATAGTCCCTTCTTGATCACCTGATGCCAAATATCAACAGTAAAAACGGAATTTGTTGCGGTAGAAGAAGCTGCATCAATCTTTCCTTAATTTGACAAATTACTTACGCCTAAGGCGGTGTAAGATGCCTAAGACGGTGCAATAAAAGCATAATGGTGTTTAAAGGCAGGAGACGTGGAGCACAGACTCTCTTTAACATTTTTGAAGCTATTACTAATATAATAACACTAATAGTAAAACAGCGTTTTAAAATGACCAAAACAACATTTCAGAGTCCCCATGTATTCAACGGTGCGTATGCACAAAAACTTTGCGTATGCCAGATTTTATGCTCGCGTTTGGATTTACTAACGATGAAATGAACGTGAGAATGTGCGATGGTCTACACCAACTTCATGCCTGGCGTACGTGCATTTCTTGTGTGTGTTTGTTTTATTTTCATTGGCAACTCCTAGAGGCAATCATGTTAAAATGCACACTACAAAATATCTTTGAGCCGTGCATTGGCAGCTGTATGAGACGGGATCATCTGCATGTCTAGCAGGTGTATAAGGTTTCCATACCATACAGTTGACCTGCCAAACATTAAAGCGCAACTTGCAGCGATCGCCGGTTTGCCCAATGTAATCGGAGCAATCTACTGCACGCACATTGCTATAAAGGCGCCATCTGAAGATGAATTTGCACAGGCTACATGAATCAAAAACATTTCCATTCAATAAATGTGCAAATAATATGTGATGTTCAAATGCGCTTAACATAATACACACACTTAATAATGATTCCTACTTGTCCTCTCGTGATGAAGAGTAGGTAAAATCTGATATGTAATGGGAAAAAAAGAAAAAGTTCATCAGATGCTGGATTCGAACCGGGTTCAGGAAAAATTTTGTCAAAACATGTTACCATGCTTTTTAAGAGCTACGCCACTCGCGTTGCTCATGTACGCTCGACTATCACTTAATTACATTATTCCAATGAGGTGTCCAACAAGACCCCACTACTCGCATCAGCTCTCCCACTCTGTTTTTTTTTCTTTTGTTATTAATTCCAGAGGACAGACTAACAAATAACACAGTTTTTCTCCGGTCTACCTCCGATAGGCGCACCGCCAATTCACATTTTGTTCAAAGCTTTTGGCTTTTTCTTGCTTTTGCCATTGCTTCTTCGTTTGGTTTTGCCAAAGTGAAGTCATTAGCATATTCATATGGGGGAGGAGCCAGGGAGGGGTTTTGCGCTTGTGCACGTGAGCTCAGTTTCATGTTAATTCAGATGTACAAAGAGAATATGCGTGTGATTCTGCGTATGCAGTGTTTCATACATCTGAATTTTTTACTGCGTACGCACATTTACAGCTTTGTGTGTACGCAATGTTTTAGTATAATTTCAACGCAAGTCTTCGTATATGAGGCCCCAGATGTTTTACAATGTGCTCAGCCTGCTGGTTTATCCATAAACACGCTTTTTTTTATCAACACATGATCTCTTATTAAAAATTCACATGACCTTTTTTTAATGTGCATACTGGAATTTGTTCAGTAAAAGTGTTTTTATCATAGTTTATGTGCATCTTTGCTTATCAAACAAAAAGTTTATCCTACTCAGTTGTGTATACTGCGTGTTTTTAATGTGCATTATCAAAATTTGTGCACATCTAGGCATTTCCATCAACAAAATGTCCAAAGTACTGGTGGCACAATCACAAATATCTATCTAAATATATAATAAACAAACATATCGCTAAAAAAAATGTTTTTGAGCAGTATACATAGCTAGATATCTAAATATCTCAAACTGCATGACTTAACCCCGTCTAAATGTGCTCTTGCATTTTTGCCATCAAAAGCGGCCAGACTACAAACAGACAAGCGCCAATACTAGTTTGACCAGGTTGTGGATTTATACTACTATTATACATAACGCTAAATTGTTTTCATAGGCCAATCGTTTCACTTCACAAGACCTCAGTGTGTCATCAGGTGCCATGGTTATTAATTTGGAATCATTTGTATGTATTCATTTGTAATCTAAAAACCAATCACTTTTCATTGCCATTATATAAATCACCAAAGACTTAGTTAATATATTGTACTGAAAAAAAAGTCACCAACATATTGGATAGCATGTGGGTAAATAAATAACAGGAAATTTTCATTTTTGGGTGAACTATACCTTCAACCCCTAGCATTCCTGTAAAATTTGCCTAAAATACCTCAAAAGGAACAGGCAAAGCAATTTGTATGCAGTTCTTGAACCTTCTGTACAAAACAGTACACTGATTTTTTCAAACGACTATAGCAATTAGCTGGAAAATTGAATTGGATCACAGCATGAAGACTTACAAAGCGCAATTTTCAAACAAGACGACAACACCTTTGCACAATCAGTTTCACACATAATTATCCAAGTTTGTTGAGATGCAAATCAACATATAAGAATGATTACTGAAGGAATGCGTCACTGAAAACTGAAGGATTCATCTTTTAATCACAGCATATACTTCTATTTCAAAATCAAAAACAATTATTTTAAATTGCAATAGCAAAAAAAAATACATATTTTACTGCTTTAAATTTGCTGCCTTTACTTCTGTTGTAATGTTTGAAATCTTTTTTTAAGAAGTATAGTGACTATCAATTCAGTTTTGTGCAAATTAGCTTCCGTACACTACACCATAAATCAAATTATAGTGAATCAAAGAAAAGAAAAATGCATTAGATGTACCATCATGTATTATTATTTAATGCAGCATCCATAAATACACACACACTGGGTTAATACTGTGCTCAACTTACCACATTATTTGGATTGGTCATCACTTTCATTAAGGCTGGATGATTGTAACCTAAAAAGAAGACAACAAAATATCTTCAAACCTGCTCTGTTCATTATTATACATGCAGTGTAAAAAAGATGCAGCAGTGTAAACACATAAGCACACCAAAGCGTACAGCAGCTGAATTAAGCACTCACATCTGTCAGTCGGAGCTGGAGGCAACATACTTGCACACTAGCAGGCTGAGGAGGATAAATGAAACGGTCTCTCCCAACAATAACTATAGTAAGAATGATACTACTATAATACAAAGTCCTGAATGATATCAGTTCACATAAACCACAATTAAATATTTATAAATGTCATTACATATAAATGTCTGTGACTTAGAAAACTGAAGTCAACAGAATGTAACTGATTTATTATTTAAAAGCTAACATAGTTTTGTAAAATGTATTACTTTCAAAGTAAACAGTAACTTCTTCCATAATGCAGTGTAATTCATTTGTATATAGTCTGACAAAAGTTACACATTTCTTTTAATTAAAGTTCAGATTACATAAAACTCAAAATAGCAATCCCAGCAACCACCAGCAGAGAGCTCTTGTACACAAATACAGATACAATAGACAAACTATGGCAAAAAAATAAATCTATCTATCTATCTATCTATCTATCTATCTATCTATCTATCTATCTATCTATCTATCTATCTATCTATCTATCTGTCTGTCTGTCTGTCTGTCTGTCTGTCTGTCTGTCTGTCTGTCTGTCTGTCTGTCTGTCTGTCTGTCTGTCTGTCTGTCTGTCTGTCTGTCTGTCTGTCTGTCTGTCTGTCTATCTATCTATCTATCTATCCATTATTTGTGACTTGAGGTTTGAAATCTACAAAGGCAGCATAATTAATATGATTTTTTGACCTTTTAAAACCGTCTTCCCATCAGGAAGTGAAGCCTCTGATCAACAGTTTGACCTCAGGCCTCCCGCTGATGAGCTCATTCTGTCCTAAACGCTTCATCTGCCTCTTTCTGTCCTGTGAGCTCGACTGAAACAAGTGTTTGCACATAAAAACAAAAGCGTTTATGGGATGACACCAGCTGCTACTGCCATTCCCGTTATGCAGTTCAATCAGATTTACATGGGAAATACGTTTTTTTTTCTTCTCTATATGTTTTCTATATGTGGTATAACGAGGTAGTGGAGATTTAGTGAGAAAGAGGTTTAGATATTATTATTATACATTTGCTTCTTTTCCATCAATTACAACTTATAATACAACATGCAAAATTAGGAGTAAAAAAAATAAAAAATAAATAAAAAGGTTGTCCAAGAGTCATTTAGATTTATATTGTTTATCAAATCAACACATTTTTACTATATTGTTTTATTTTGTGGTTGTGTTCTTTTGCACTTTAATTGCTTTAAATCATTAGTTTATTTAACATATTTATTAAAATATATTACTTCATTTAAATAATATTTGATGTTATAATGGTATTATTTATTTTATTATTTAAAAAGATCCTCGAACTTTTCAATAATATAACTGTAATTCAATATGGTTTTTAATTATAACTGTTATTTAATATTTTTTTCAAAACTTAAGGTTGGAAACAAAGGAATTGGGTGGGGTTTTACTACTTAATTTCCAATTATACTTTTGTGCTAAATTATTCAAATTAAGCACAAGTTAAAGTGGATTATTTACATATTTGATTCACGTTGGGTTGGTATTGAATTCACAAAATGCTTTCCCAGGTTGTTATGCTCCTTACCATATACACGTAAACGTAAAAAAATAAAAATAAAACAAACATCTGATTAGTGTTTTTACAGTAACATATACTCTTTTGGTGTCTAAGAATGTTAAGAAATATCTATCCATCCCAAATAAGTCGTGTTTTAAATTCACCTATTACGCTTAATCCCAATTGTCCCACAACTAATCAGAATATTGGCCTTTTGACTGGAGGTCAAGAGGATTGTCAGAATACGGTCACTTATTTGGTGATGGCCAAATAAAAATATTTATTATTTATATAAAATTATTTCAGGAGTTAAAACAGGAATTTAGCCTTCCCAACAAAGATTTATTTTTTGTAAATTTCTTCAAATTCCACACTTTTAAGTTAAAAGAAGGTAATGTACAATTTGATCTTACTGAAATAGAAAAATGGAATCTCTAAATTATACACATTGCTGTCTAATATTGGTCCTTCAACCTTTAGTTCTTTAAGGGTGATATGGGAAAAGGACTTGGGGTCTATTTTTTATGATGAGGACTGGATATCTCCCTGCTCAAATATCAATCCCAAAAGTACTTTAATTTCAGTTTAAGAACAAAATTATAAATGTATTCACAGGATTTATCCTGTAACTCCATTTCGCTTCCATAGAATATTTCCCAATTGTTCTCAGGGATGTTTTAAATGTAAGGAAGACATTGGCACGGTGATGCATGTATTTTGGGATTGCAACAAAAGTATAATGTACTGGAAAGAGATTCACAAAATTATTAATTTTTAAAATAATTTGAAAGATTTTGCTTTGTCCCCAAAGGTATATCTTCTGAACTGTACAGGGAAAGTGTCTTGATCATGATGAAGAAAGTCTATTGAATTTTTGCATATACATACTTGGCCAAAAAATGTATACTATTATTACTATGCACAACTAATCAGAGTCAAGTAACCATAGAAAAAAAATTACCTACTATTTACATGAAAGATCTGAGATTAGAGTATATACAGGAATCAGAGAGTGAAACTCATTACCTTTTAAGAACCTTTTTTAAGACTCTTTCCATACATTTTAAAACCTTATAACCACTTACGAGATTTTAACTAATAGTATATTTACTAAATATTAAATGTAAGAAACTAATCCAAAACTAAAATGTTATTCATATATTGAATAAAAATCTGTTCTGATCTAGCTAATTATCTAGCTAATTTGACAGGTTGGCGCCTATAGAACTGCAGAAATAATGGTGCTGCCTTGATTACTGCAGTAAACAAAGCAGCATGATGTCAAATCTAGCAGGATTTCATAAACCACACAGCATGCTGATATTCGCAGATTTATTTCAGGCAAACTTTAGCATACAACCATCCATTGCATAATCTAAAATGATATACAATTTGTTACCTTGCAAAATGGCATTTATGACTTTTTACTACTTTTTAAGGGCCTGAAATTTCTCTGTATTGATTTATCAACTTTTAAAACTTTACAGACCCCGCGGACATCCTGGAGGTGCTTTGGCACATTTGGTCCTCCCTCTGGAATTTTATTGAGGATACTCAGTAACTACATCTCTCTAAATTTGGTTTATAATTTCCTTTAAATTTTGTCTTTGGTTTCAAGCATTTGTATGCATTTTAATGTCTACCCAAAACTGCTGTGTTTGTTGTTACAAGATACCAGTACCACTGTGGTTCTGTTCATTTTTAAAAATAATATTAATAAAACAACAACTCAAGGTTCAATAAATTTGCTGATGTAAGATTTATACATTTCAGAAAGACTCATTTCAGAAAGCTACGTCAAGGTAAAGTCTAGATCAGATCTTTCGTAACTGCAACAAGAGGCAATCTAATTGCCTCTAACATTAACAATTTATCAACATGTGGACCTTTTTGGATTCTTGAAAAGCTATGAAAATTCAAAGTGTAAAACAGGAAATACATTAATATTACTGTTATTTTTTACATCCATCAAAATGGTCCATAATTTAAGTAAATCATTTCTCAAACTACATTGCAAGCATATTTACTGCTTAAACCTACACAGAGTACTGAAACCTACTGCCAGAGTAACCCTCACATGAACTCTTGACAAGTACATACTCGTATCTGAATATTTTTAGAGAACAAATTCTTAAAATCAGAAGAAGGGATATTGTCATCTTTTTTCGAGGACTGATGGTGGAATTTTTCTAGGAGCTCTCAATGGAGCATGTGTTTACTGACACATGAACGGAACAGGCTGCAGGGCAAGTGAAGTCTCACACTATCAAACACGCAGTATGTGTGTGTATGTGTGCTCGCAACATTAAATAAAAGCTCTGTCGAATGGCGATGTGCTGTTTTTATGCATAAAGGAAACCAAATCAAACTCATGTCTCTTTTTACTTCATTGGTCAAGAAAACAGAAGAGCTCTTTTATATGTACGTGTATGTCACTGTGCCACTATGAATGTTGTCAGCGTACGCTAATGTAACAACAATATCCCATAATGCACTTCTGTCTGCATGATACAGGAGCAGCGAGTGCGAGGCAAATCAAAGCTCCTTAAATGTGATTCAGCACCTGAAGGCATTTGTGAGAGCGAGAGACAGGAGCTTCGCTCAATTTGTAGAGGCTGATTAAATGTAAATAAGCAAATGGAGCAAGCGAATGACACATAGACGCTCCATTCTGCCTCTCAGGTCTGTTTGTTGTATTTTGTACAGACGATCCTTACATGTAGTTCTGAGTCACTGTCTCTGACATTTAATTATCAAAACCAACAGTAATCTAAAGAAAAAAAAAAACACTTATATCTACTGACCAACACAATGACAACACCACTTGCAGGATTTAAATCAGTCCAGGCTCAATGTAAATGTGTGGCTCTACCTACATTTTCGTGAAATTTAAAAATATGTTGATTTGGGTATGTTTTGTTGCAGATTGCTGATGACAAATCCACTAGAGGGCACTGTTTACATTTTTGCAAAAATCTGAAATGAGTTACTTAGGGAAGGGGTTCTCAACTGGTTTGGCCATGGGACCCTAATTTTTACATGGTCATCAGGTCGCGACCCAAATTTTTAGGAATTATAATACAATTGTAGGAATTATACTTAATTTGTATTTATTTGTTAACATACATTTGTTAACATTTTAACATTTGTTAACAAGTACTGACATATAAATCATAAGAAAATCCCCTAGACAAATAAACAATATTTTATTGCGGTCATTTAACAAAATGTATCAAATTATAAAAATATTACAAATGAAAAACGACAAATACTGTTAACAGTGGTTAGGGTAAGGAAAGATTCAGTTACCATGAACTAAACTGAACTGGTAATAAAACATGTTGTTTGGTTTCTAAATGTCGTTTTAATTTAGAAGGTTTCATGCTCTCTTGTGAGAACACATCACTACATATGACACACTGAGACTTTAAGTCTTTTTTTGTCATCAAAATATGTAGGTCCATACTTTACATATTCGGGGTTGCACTTGCGCTTCGACATATTTGTTGCTAAAATTAAAATGAAATTTCACATGTCAAACGGTAGGGTTATCGCGCATGCATTTCAAAATAAAAGTCCAGTATAAGCAAAATAGGTTAAACTTTTGTCGTTTTTTTTGACCACACACTCCGCGACCCATTGAAAATGTTCCCACGACCCACTTTTGGGTTGCGATTCACCAATTGAGAAACACTGACTTAGGGCACACTGGCAGTACACATTTGCAACATTCCTATTAAGACATGCCTGAGAATAATCAGACCATTAGAAGAGACTAAAACACCTTTAATGAATGGTTCGGTAACACTTTAGAATAACTATGTGTTGTAACTAGTTAATAGATCATTAATTAATTGCTAGTTAATGGGTTATAAATGACTTGTTAAATGAAAGTTATTAGTTTGTTAATTATTTATAACTGTGCCTTATAGATAGCCAAATGATAACTTAAAAGCTGCAAGTTAACAAGTTATAAATGACTTGTTAACTGCATTTTATTGCCTTATAACTACACCTAATAAATTAGTAATAGATCAGGAATAAGCTGTAGTTAACTTACTAATTAAAGACTTGTTAAGTATCAGTTAATAGTTTATATACGTTACTGGGATGTTATTCTAAAGTTGCAATTATTCTTTATTTATTAACTGTTAGTAAATGAGAAATAGTTGCAACTTTAGAATAATGTCCCAATAACATACACAAGCTAATTCAGAAAAAAATATGCAGAATAATGAATTTGTAGCAATTTTGTGCAGAATATAATATTTTTAATTAGGCATAATGTGTGTGAACATATCCCTTTGTAAATATTCTGCAAGTGCTGTTAAAGTGGAGAAAACGATTATTCTTAAATTATACAATGTAATTGAAATCTCCACACCCAAAGTGATAATATGCTATGAAAGGAACACTTAAATGTGTATTTTGGATTTATCTGTACATTTGGTTCCACAAAAAGGCCAAAATCTCAAAACGTACAGGTGTTTTAGTGTTTGATGTTGCAACATTTAAGCTGTACTACTTTGCCTGAACCGTGCCAGTGATCTGCAAAAGAATGCATGCGCATGTGTTGTGTCGTATAAGTTTATTGGCTGAGCTCACCGATGGGAATGGAGGAGATTTGTGTGTACACGTCCAGCATTCGGTTTCCGTCAACGTCCACCAGGTAATTCCCTCTGCTCTCCTCATAGTTGCAGAAAAAGTGAATAGCTCCAGTGTTCTGCAAAGCATTAGAGAAGATGTTACTATTAACCCCTGTGTTGTCCTAAAATTGTTTACACACCGCTGGTCCTTTGGTCAAGCTGCCTTCACTTAACTCCTAAAACAAAGGCAGCTAAATTCGAGGACTTAATTTCAATCCTCAGATCTATTTTGCATGGATAAACAATCTAATCTTCATCACAAACTCGATGAATGTCTAGGTATTTCCTCATTAATGTGGAGTATTTAATCAATGTTTAATCAGAATCAACACTCAATTTTGATTCATGTAATGGAAATCTTTTCTAATGCAAGAAGTGTAAAAGGTTTAGCTAAACAGTATTCAGAAAATGTAAAGCAGCAGATACTTATCGTGTAGGGGTTGGTGGTGTGAAGTGTGCATGTGTGAGACTGTATTTTTTGTTGTGTAAAATTTGACCCAAAACACAAACATTTTACCCTAAAATGTGTGCAGACATCATGATTTTTTTTTCTAATATTAGAGTCATTTTAGAAAAAAGAAGTCACCAAATTTATATATAAGAAGATACAAAAAGTATTTATAAAAATTTAACAATTTAAAAATTAAATAAATATATTAAAAGATACAAAAGTATTTATAAAAATTTAACAATTTAAAAAAAATAAAAAACATTGTTTAGTTTTTTTTTCCTGCTGATTAAAGGCCTGGATCATTTTTATCCATTAGCTAACAATAGGGTTGAAATAATTTAAGAGTGATTTTTCTACACCTTATTGTATTTGGTATTTGGCAATTGAAGGGGAAAATGTAAGCTCCACACCAAGTTACTGTGTGTTCTGACCAATCAGCAACCTCCTGCTCTCCTTCGTGAAGCATATACAGAGTTAAGTGAAACTGTAATTCATTGAAATTATGGTTTACCGATTTTGGTATATATATATAGCTAATATATTCATGACAACTGTAAGGGGACAGATTTTTTTTTCATCCATTTCATTCATATTAAGTTACATTAATTCCGCATAATTAAGGGCGCGGCCACTTGTGTCAACTACGGTAGGTCTCGCTGGTCACCATCATGTCACCTCAGCTTATTCCAGCTAATAAGCCACTGAACTCAGCATATACCTGTACATCGTATTTTTGTTTTGTTTTATGTGGCTTTACACAGTGATTTGCCTTTTTAAATTATTTTCTACAATTATCAGATAATATGGTGCTGTGTGCATCTAATTTTGTTCACAAACCATTCGAGTGGCCTCCATTTCCCAGGCGAGTAAAATTATATACTTACAGATAGGTCCATACATATATGGACATCGATACAATTGTAACATTTTTGGCTCTATACACCAACACAATGGATTTGAATGAAATAAACAAGATATGCTTTAAGGGTGCTTTCACACCTGTGAATCGATTCAGTTGTTCCGAAACAGAGATTAAAATTGTTACATTGTTGCTCTTTGCTCTTGGAGCGGTTCGCTTTCACACTGCAAAGTTTCTAATCGGACCAAAAGAGCTAAAACAAGTCACGTGCGAGTAAACTCTCCTTACATTGGTCAGAGTGTCAGGGTTTATTTTTCAGCGTCCCGCTCAGCTGTCAGGAGAGGTGGTGGTTTGGTGGTGATTGACAGGGTGCGCGCGCGTGACGTGTCTGAGGAGAGACATGGTGGGGAGGGGTGAGAAGGGTGCGCGACGATGCCTATTTGAGGACTGGGAGAGAGACGCGAGATTACCGGGAGATCATCACTCGTTTGCGGGCATCCGGAGACTCGTGAAACTTCCCGCCCTACTCATAATTCTCTCTTCATATAGCCGTAAGCCTATTACATATCCATAAAACACTGTGATATAACCGCGCTCGGATCGGATCGCTTTCTCACTGCAATCGAACCGCTCCAGGGTTCGTTTCAATCGAGCCGAGACCACCTCATTCAAGCGATCTCAGAGCGATTACTTTGGCGCGGAACAGAGCGCGATTGCCCTGTTCACATATGCCAATCGAACCGCGCTAACTGGGCAAACGAGATACGTTCCGAAACAAAGGTGTAGGTGTGAAAGCCCCCTAACTGCAGACTGTCAGCTTTAATTTGAGGGTTTTTACATCAAAATCAGGTGAACGGTGTAGGTATTACAATAGTTTGCATATGTGCCTCCCACTTGTTAAGGGTCCAAAAGTAATTGGACAGAATAATTATATTAAATCAAACTTTCACTTTTTAATACTTGGTTGCAAATCCTTTGCAGTCAATTACAGCATGAAGTCTGGAACGCATAGACATCACCAGATGTTGGGTTTCATTCCTGGTGGTGCTCTGCCAGGCCTCTACAGCAACTGTCTTCAGTTCCTGCTTATTCTTGGGGCATTTCCCTTCAGTTTTGTCTTCAGCAAGTGAAATGCAAGCTCAAGGAGATTTGGATCAGGTGATTGACTTGGCCATTGCATTACATTCCACTTCTTTCCTTTCAAAAACTCTGGTTGCTTTTGCAGTATGCTTTGGGTCTTTCTCTATCTGCACTTTAAAGCACTGTCCTATGAGTTCTAAAGCATTTGGCATAAAATATTGCATAGTTACTGAAGTTTGTCCTGCGCGCTTGCAGTTTTTTTAGTTACTTCCTTGGTTTGGTGCGTTAATCTGATCGTTACTATTATTCAAAAGAAGGAAATGATTCGCACTCAATTGCTTCATACTGTTTTTATTTTTACTTTTTCTTACATTTTACGGGTGATAACAGACAAACAGACGTTTCGGCACAAAGCCTTCCTCAGTGTGTTTGTCTGGTATCACCCGTAAAATGTAAGAAAAAGTAAAAATAAAAACAGTATGAAGCAATTGAGTGCGAATCATTACCTTCTTTTGAATAAAATATTGCATGAAATATTATCTCATTATTATCTTATATCGGCCCATGCCTAACTGTAAGGGGGTTAATTTTTTTTACATATGGGGGGAGTGGAATTCTGGAGATATAACAATACGGGAGATGGGTCCGTAATATAGGAGTGTTGGCAGGTATGGCTATGACGCGTGAACAAAATGACAATGTTTGGCCACATCTACTTGTAGCTTCATTTGCGCTCGTCTGAAACCTATGGGTGACATCACAGATTATACGTCCATATCTTTTACAGTCTATAGTTTTGACATTTTGCATGAGAATTAAAAAAAAAAAAGGTCAATGTAATCTAATTCGTAGTTAAATTACATCAATTATGCTATTATAAATCATGCATGAATTAAAAAATATATTTACTTTGTTAATGATCACTGCTATAAAACTAAGTTTATGGTAAACAGTTAATCACTGTGACTTAATCTAGCAGAAGAACATGAGGCAAAATTTTAAGCAACAGTGCCTTATCCAGGGAAAGTGCCTTCTCCCTTCTCCGTGGCTTTGAAGTTGATGCTGGATCTATTTTTAGCACGTCTGATGAATAGATTATGACTCCTCTGTCTGCTCTCGTGTGCAGAAGACAGACATGCACAGGAGCCACGGCGAAGCAAATCTGTGATATTAGCTTCATCGATGCCTGTCAGCTCACATCTGTGTGCTCAGCCATAGCAAAGCGGTCAGAAGACGACTGTGACTGCTCAAGAAGCCGAAACAATACAGCAGAACAATTATTGCCCGAAATATATTCATCACTCAATATGCTGAAGACATGAACTGTAGGCTGAAATACAGATGACTGTAATATTGCATGTCACAATGTTGATATAGGGTGATGATAATGCTTCAGATTTGCTGCTATTTATGATTGTAGTTGTTGTTTTGTTTAAATTTTTATTTGACAAACTATTATGGTAGCACAATCTAACTTGTACCCTTTTTGACTGTCAAATAACAAATAAATAAATCTGCAAGACTAACTGCATAACACAAGTTGGCTAACATGGAGTGTTGCTAAGCATGTTGGGTCATTTGTGTAATGAATAAGCAAACATTGAATTTATATTCTATGTCTGTCTCACCTGAATCTCTCCAAGTTGTCTCAGCAGCTCCTATTGAGTGAAGGAAATTAATGTTAGAAAAATGGGATCCTGTCAGCTTAAATATGACAGTATTTGACATGCATTATTCATGATGATTTGTGAAAATGTCCTTGCTCTGTTAAACATAATTTGGGTAATATTTAAAAAAGAAAAAAAAAAGTCAAAGGGGGGCTAATAATTCTGACTTCAACTGTACATTGAATATATATACATATACAGTTGAAGTCAGAATTATTAGACCCCCTTTGAATTTTTTTCATTTTAAATACTCCCCAAATGATGTTTAACAGAGTAAGGATATTTTCCAGAGAATGTCTGATAATATATTTTTTTCTTCAGGAGAAAGTCTAATTTATTTTATTTTGGCTGGAATAAAAGCAGTTTTTAATTTTTCAAACACCATTTTAAGGACAAAATTATTAGCCCCTTTAAGGTAAATTTTCTGTCTACTACAGAACAAACCATCCTTATGCAATAACTTGCCTAATTACCCTAACCTGCTTAGTTAACCTAATTAACCTAGTTAATTCTTTAAGCTGTATAGAAGTGTCTTGAAAAAATATCTAGTAAAATGTTATTTACCATCATCATGGCAAAGATAAAATAAATCAGTTATTAGAAATGAGTTATTAAAACTATTATGTTTAGAAATGTGTTGAATAAAATCCTCTCTTCGTTAAACAGAAATAATTGGGAAAAAAAAATAAACAGAGGGCAAATAATTCTGACTTCAACTGTATGTGTATATAAACACACACACACACCAGGGCTGTTTATTTTGGTTCATTTTCCCCACCGACAATCATCGCTCGACAATCAAAGAGCATATGTTGACTTTTTTTTTTTTTTTTTTAAGTTGGCTATACGCAACTTTTTTTTTATTTTATTTTTTTTACATATATTGCATTGCATTGATTTGCATACATGTTTTATATGTTATATAGCTATATAATGAAAGTCTCAGTGTGGTGAGGAGTCAATATTCAATATTCAAGTAGCCCAAATCATTGGATTTGACTTATTAGGCTATTAAAGCCATTTTAAAAATGGATCTTTTACTATTAATAACTGTAAGTTGGAAAAAGGTTGGTTGGTTAAACAATATCTGTTGTTTAACTGATACCATCAATACCATTTAACCGTTTAACTGATACTATTAATCGATTAAAAATGCATCCTTTCGGTTAACGGTTAATCGGTTATTAAGAGCAATCATATTTCCTACAGACACATATTACAAAACAATCTGGCAAAATATCTCATAGTAAAAGTGTAAAAAAAAAAAAAAAACCTTGGACTTTGGACCGGGCACAGTAGTCTTCATGGATGGGGCATCATATTCAAACTCTGAAACAGTCTTTGTAGCAGTTTTGCTGACATATCTGGAACCTAACACAACAGACACACAATTAAAAGGGTCATAAAGCAGTACATAATGACTTAAAATGAAAAAAAAAAAAAAGCTGTATAAAAACTTTCATTTCATGAATAACATTTTTTTTACTATATATTTTTTACGTTTGATTTAAGCCCATAATACCATTTATTGCATGTATCTTAATGCTTAATCTTAAATTAATGCAGTTTTAAATGACAAATTTCTAGATGATTAAAAACAACAAAACATATTCACTATTTATTTTTTAAGCAGACTGCCTCAGTAAAGACGACTTCTTAAAATCAAGTGTTTAGTAATTATCTGTATTGTATCTGGCTTCCCAAAATAGTTAACCAACTGAACTCTGAACGACCTTTTGTACTTGTTCAGTATATTTGAACGGCAGCCAATAAGCACACCTAAACAGCCGCAAAATGTCTTACATAATCATGCACAGTACAACCAGTACGCACATAGCCAAAAGACTTCACAATTGCACAGAAGTAAATAGCACTACATTACTGAGCTACTGATTAATAATGGCAGACAGGACTAAGTCATTGTGGCCTGCCACAAAAACATGATGTGCACAGATTTCTCTCTCAATGCAGAATTTACTTGCCAAAGCTGGACAAATCCAGATCTCAGTAACTCATTTACATGGTTAAGTAACTATGAACTGTGTCCCTCTTGACATTCGGCTCCATATCTACACACATCATTATCATTTCAAAAGGAAGAGCTTGTCTTCCTAAAACGATCATGCAGTTGCATTACATAAAGTAGCTAGAGTCTGTTACAACTACAGCTGTTTATGAAAATATTATAGCCTCAGGATAAGTTTATTTATTCAATCCGAATCAATTGAAAATGATGTTCAAGAAGGCAAAGTCATTTTTCACAGTATTCTCCGTTACATTTTTGTTCTGGAAAAAGTCCTACTTCTTTTATAATATACATAAATAAATGTGGTCATAAAAGTTATAATTTTTTTGTTTGCCAACGAAACAAACTACTGCTATCCAATGATTTGCCTAGTTAACAAAGCCTTTAAATCACATTTTAAGCTGAATACTAGTCTTTTGCAAAATAACTAGTAAAGCATCATGTACTGTCATGGTCAAAAGACAAAATAAATAACGTACTAATTACATTTAAGTTTGTTTAGATAAGGCTTTTACAATGTAGATTGTGCCAGTGCAGCTTAACATAGAAGTTCTAGTAAATTGAAACAGTGTCAGTTCAGTTTTCAGAGTTGAAGTTCAGTTTAGTTCAGTTCAGTGTGCTTTAATTTTTATTGCTGAAAGCCCAAACACTGAAGAGCAAATCCATTGATGCGCAGCTCCCAAACCAACTAGAATTTAATTATGAAAGTTACTATGTTTAAAAAATAAAGTGTTGGCAACCAAATCTCTCTATTAAACAGCACTTGGGAAATATTTTTTTAAGAATTGATTTCATCATACAGTATACATTATGTTTTCAAATGCACCTTATTTTGAATATTATGATTTACTGTTTATTCAACTTTTACAATATTGCTTTCATTTTCCTGTTTTACTTGCTATAAACACATTATATATCCTAGAAAATCTTTAAGTGCATTTATGTGTATTACTATTTTTTTCTTCATTTATTTATACACGTACAATGCACAGACACATTGTGCCAGAGTTAGTTATAAAGTCAACTTGCAATCTGTAGTCCCTAGGCAGGATGTTGTTTCAAATGTTACCATAATACAAGTAAACTATCTGTCATGCTATGTACAAAACCTACAAAATGTATCAAAAAGTCCTACATGACTCCAATAGTGTGGTTAAGGTGTGTACATATCCAAGTTAGGCATTGGGCGATAACTGGTTTCAAGGTATACTGCAGTTTGGAAAAAGTCAAGATTTTAAAACCGCAAAATTTTTTGCTGCACCGTTCCTAAGGTACATGCAAGTTCTTAATGTTCTTAACTCTTTTATTTTGTTTTTTAGAGCAACAGTATCTCCATCAGAAAATTCTACATTAAAAGCTGCTGGTCCAAAATATTTCAAACGTTTCTTAAAATAAAATATATTGTGTTCAATGGGGGAGAAAAAAATTTGTTTTTACTCGGACATTTAAAAATTACTTATTTTTATAGCAGTAATCACAGTACGCTGAAAATGTGCTATTTTCATACAAGATTATCGTCATAATCTTATACTGGTCCATGTCTAATGTAGGTAACGCTTTACAATAAGGTTGTATTAGATAATGTTAGTTAATGCATTTACTAACAAGAACAAATAATGAACAATACATAACAGTATTTATTCATCTTTGCTAAGGTTTATGAAAACACACTTGTTCATGTTAAATTAAGGCGCATTAATGTTAACAAGCATAAATTTGGATGCTATAATGCATATAATAATTACTAATAATGCATAATATTTACTAATAATGCATTAGTAAATGTTGAACTGTAATTAATAGATGCTTTAAAAGTATTGTTCATTATTAGTTTGTGTTAGTAAATACATTAACTAATGAAACCTTACAGTAAAGTGACCCATATCTATACTTACTTTAAAATTGCGACTAAAATATATATATATATATATATATATATATATATATATATATATGTCCTAATTGGACTTGATTTTACTTTGAGTACAAGTTTAGGTAATTAAAAATCTCTGTTTAAAATGTAGATTCTTAATCGGAGTCTTGTCTAAATCGTGCTAATATCAGAATCATATTGTTGTTGTACTGTGCCCATCAGTAAAAACCATACTCTGTGAAAATCTTTACTCACATTGCACCCTGCTTTCAAAGAACCTTTAGGATAAAGTCGTAAAAAGGCACAGGTTAGGAGAAGGCTACAAAAACATTTCAAAGGCTGGAAAAGTTGTTTGGAAAGTGATTTGATTTCAGGCTGTGTGACAAAAAGTAATTGTTTCAAAGGGGTATGATGAATTTCTACAGGCACTGTAAATGTATTGTCAGTTTAAGTGGAATGTCATCAAGCTTTTCAGACTTAATAGTATCCATTTTTACCTGGAGCAGCGAGACGCAGGTTTTGCTGGAGGGAAAGAGCCAGCTGACGGGTCAGGAGTGAGGAAGCCATGTGTAGCACTCACCGAGACACAGACAGAGAGAGAGAGAGAGACAGCACACAGCACCTGCCTTTCACTTCACCTGAGGGAAGACAGATAAGACCAGTTACAGTGGGTGGGAAGAAGATACGGGTTATGGAAATGTCACAATCAAATAGACTCTGGAAGATAATACAATCTGCAGGTCAGCGGAGAAATGATATCCACAACTTGTATGACATTAAACGAACTCCACTGACCTTCGAATATACTTTATAATATTATTCTGATACACCATTTAAACATACTATTATACAGAACATTTATTTTTATTAAAACCTTGCATTTGCATTTTTCTCAACAACAGTATGTAAAAATATTTGAACGACCAAATTGACAAAGTTAGCAAAATAATTTGTTTTCGGTTTTTCGTTTTTCAAATATTTCTTTTTTTCTGGAAAAAGCAGTTTAATTTTTTTTCTATAAGGTTAACATTATTAGCCTTCTTAAGAAATAATTATATCAAAATTGTAAGGCAACTTGCAGCAGAGCTTTTCTTTTGAGTAGACTCAACTTTCAACCAAAGTACTACACTTGACTTGATTTAACTTAGTCAATTCAAAAAGCTCTGCAGCAAGTTGGCTTACAATTTTAAATTGAGTCAACTTTGTTTTTTTTTTGTTGTTGTTTTTTAAGTTAATCTGATTTAGGGGCCAATCACACCGAACATGCTTTTGCATTCCAAAAACATTCCACTGCCTTTTTTGGTAACAAGAAAAAGTGTGGTGTGGATTTTTATGTCGCTAGACAATGACTGAATCAACTGCGTGTTGTGCAAGTGTTGCTGTTAAATTGGTATAATTTTTAATATTTATTAATATTATGAAATTCAAGATTTGTAATGTCATACAGCTGTGCATAACTTGAAACGGAGACTACTAGTCTCTCCATCTACAAAAGTCTCCCTAGTCATCTTGACAAAAACTGCTGTCACCTCAACGGAAACCCCGCCTCTGCTTTCATTTGATTGGAGACTGAAAAAGACGCGACTGATGTAGTGTGCTTTTTCCGCTCAGAGTTGACTTTTTTTTGTGTGTGTGACCGCACAGCACGCAACAGCAAAAACTTGAGGCACAGCAGGTGGTTAACATGCTAAAATGCCGTTAGTAAACCATTCAAAAGATGTGCTTCAAGGCAAAAAGCAGATTCAATGTGATCTGCACCGAAGCCTTTAAATTGCACTTAAATATTAATTAATATAATTATTAAAATAACTAAATTATTAATTAATAGAATTACTAATATAAATCAATTTAACAATACTGTTAAAGTATAAATTATGGACTGTCATCATGGCTTAAAAATGTGTTGATAAAAACTTCACTCCCTTAAAAATCTCTTACGAATGGGAAATAATAGAAAAAAATGTATATATATAATGTCATAGACAGCATAATAAGACTATCTGACTATTAGTTTACTATCTGAAATATATTAGCATAGAACTCATCTATATTAATCTCATTAACATACAAGGTAGAAACATCAAATCTGTTCAATGTGAGGTATGATGAATATTTTCCCTAGACATGTTATAAAAAATAATTAACAATTGCTAAGACAGATAGTATAGCCACAAACTTACATGTACAAAAATACACTAAATGAAATAATGGCCATACACAGCCTATTCAGGATCAGATAGCACCCCATAGCCACAGTGTTCACAGTTTTTAGAAGATATCAAACCACAAACAGCTTGCCTCAAGAAATGGTCTCAAATATTCTTTTGGGACAGAAGGGAGTATTTTACCATCACCATTATGATTTTAAAAATTTGGTCAAACTCATTTTTATGACCAGATGGGTGCAAATCTTACTATCTTCAATCTGGCATCAATGAGATGTGATTTCAGTACCACAGACAGTTCCTTTTTCCCTGAGCAGCAGGTTCAGCCATGCCCATCAATTGAGTCCCTCTCCAGTGGCCTTGACAGTCCACATTCACACCACTTAATTAATGCACGGCTCATTGCTGTTAATTACAACATGGCTTAGACATTCGCCAACCCTCTGATGATCTTTTTGCACTCCATTTCATGGGACAGAGAGACTTGTGAGGACAAAACTGAGGGCAGCAGATGAGTGACTAACGCTGTGACTTTCAAGTAACGCTAAACCTTCCCTAAAGGCTCTGGAATCAGGAAACCGGTCACAATATGGAGCTTAGATTAATTGGGACGAATAGTCTTGCTTAAGGGAAAAGCCAATGCCTGAGGGAACCGCCAGATCTTCAGCTTTCATGATGAGTGAGCATATGCTTACAGAATGAAAAGAGCGATGATGGTGTGCAGTTATTATTCATAAAATGTTCTTCTTATTTTGAAAGGCTGCCTTTCATGGAATGTAAAGAGAGATCTCTGCAGAGATTCAAAGGTGAAATTGCACAATTAATGAAGCTTTTTAAACAAAAGAACTGATTCTGAATTGACGGAAATGAATCATCAGTAATACTTGTCTCAGGTTTAAGGCACAATGTTTGGGAAGCTGGTGCATAGATTCGACAAATTAATAGTTTTCAGATGGTTTCAGACCATATAAGCCAAACTTGTTTGAGGTAAGAAAGCAATTCAGAGCAAGAAACCAAAGATCCAAGAGAAATAATTCACAAAAAGCAAATGTGTTACCCCAAAAAATAAATGAATAAATCATAAATAAAAATAACCAAGCTCAAACTCGTTCATTTTGAGGCGGGAACTGGTGGATGTGCACCAACTTTAATCATGTGTTGAACACTAAAATGCTGTATTTAACTGCATAAAACTGTATAACTGCAAAAAAGGCCCGCTTTTTGGGAAATAAAAAAACCACCTCTTTCACCAGGTTGGCTATGGGCCAGAGTCAGATTGGGGTGTCTAAAGAGTCAAAATCTTTTATGAACTCAATTCAGACACTGCTAGAAAAGAGGTCCTCAAGCAATGCATACTATACTACAAGAAAACCTTGAATGGAAGTAAATCTTTTGTAGGAGACCCCCAAAACTAAATTAGGAAACTCAAGCACTTGGTATCAACATCATGCCTCTGAAACAATATATTGTTCTTACTTGGTTTATATGTCACAAGTGCATGTTTCCATCACAATTAGGAAACAAGAAACCTAAGAATCAGTCTTCCTGCTCCACTGAAAGAAAGCCAGTCTCCTATGTTTGCTCATAAAAGGAATCAATTCAGAGAGGAGAACTGGCTACCCCACTGGTCAGTAGAGTGAACACACGGCATCTTTATTCATGTGCAGGAGACAAACAGCAGAAAGTGCATCTTTCTTGTGCTCCAGATCGGAGGACGCTTATGCAATCGAGGCAGCAGAAGCAAGAAAAATCCAGACGCTCCATCTCTCAGAAGCACCCCAACCAGACGGCTCATTGACTGGATGGAACTGGTTCTGAAAATATGTTACACAAGCCTGTTGTCATGCGCATGTGAGGATGCAGCAAGCAAAATGGGTTAAACTAGTTTGATGCCCAAAGGGCAAAAACTTGACTGATGGAGCTGAATTGCCTTTCTCGAGTGAAAGAGACTAATTTCATTTCATTGACTGATTGAGAATGGAGAGACTGCTGAAGGGATGAGAAGTGTGGATACATATTTGAAGTGATTTATTGCATTATGTGATAGCTTCAGGCAAATGTGTTTTAACAATCTGGACACTAAGTGAAACCTTGTGGTTTCAAAGATGCATAATCAGGGTTTATCCATCATCAAGCTCAAGGCCAGTTTATAGCATTTTCACTATGAACCCATCATCACATTTCTGGGTTTCTTAGTAGAGGAAATCATCATAGCTGGGTAAACCTAGAGTGCAGTGAATGGGAAATAAATGTATTTTTTCCCAATCTGAGTCAAATTGACTGTCCCATCATAGATGCTGCATTAGAAGCACCCTGCATAACTATTTTTGTAATTTGATGCAAACATGCTATAACACAAAGTTAAAGTAGCTGTATGTACATCATTTTTTAAAATTTATTCATTCAGCTATTTTCTTTTTTGCTTAGTCCCTTTATTAATCAGAGGTTGCCACAGCGGAATGAACCGCCAACTTATATAGCACATGTTTTACACAGCACTTGGAAACACCCACATACTCTTGCACACACTCACATACACTACGGTCAATTTTAGCTTACCCAATTCAACTATAGCGCAGTCTTTGGACTGAGGAGGAAACCAGAGCACCCGGAGGAAACCCATGCAAACACGGGCAGAACATGCAAACTCCACACAGAAATGCCAACTGACCCTGTCTGTACTCGAACCAGTGACCTTCTTGCTGTGAGGTGATTGTGCTACCCACTGTGCCACCGTGCTGCCTTACATTATATAAACAAATCCAAAAATTAGGCTTTGAAAAAATTAAGCAGCAAGTTAAAAACATCACCGTCTTGTGAAAAGGGTCTATTACTGATCACATAGTGTTCAAGTTGGTAAAGTTTTTTTTTTTATTTTTTTTTTTAAGAAATGTCTTATGTTAACTATTTAAACGAAAAAATTAAGTCGAATATTATTACAACCAAAAATTTTGTAAAATATTATTATATAAATATTATTATAAATAATATAAAACTCTAGTTATTCCTATGATGTCAATGCTGATTTATCAGCGGGCATTAGTTATCAATGCCATGAGATTTTTTTCCAGATATCATTTTAATAATGCAGATTTGTTTCGTAATCCTTTATTGAGCAAAGGACCACCATATGGTAACTTTATTGGCAGATTACAATACAAGTCTAGTAGTAGCCCTATTATTTATTATCATCAATGTTCTTTAATGTTAAAAAAAAACTATTGCGCTGATTACTGCATATGAATTTATATACTGTATAGAATAGAATTATATATAGAAGGTTCAAACAAAGTGTTGAAATAAAAATCTGATGATGAAAACCAATGCACAACAGCTATCAATTTTAACAATTGGCTGATCGAACTCAAATTAAATTTATATTGAGCTCCCAATAATAATAAGAGAAAGCACTTTTTATTTTGTTTATAATGGAGCAATTCCATGCAAAATCAACCTTGCCATGAAAAAAATGT